TGCAAAGTACATGTACTTTCAAAGTCCATTGATGACTCTTGATGTTTCTTTGGAGACTGAAACTTAGTTTTTGGAGGATTTGATGACTGAAACTTAGTTTTTTGAGGATGTGATGCCTCTTTCTTAGAAAGTTTCTCAACAGTCATCCAATGTGATGACTGTGATGCCAGTTTTTGATGACCATTGATGCCTCATGATGACCTTTGATGCCTAAATGATGACGAGTGATGCCTTATGATGACAAGTGATGCCTTATGATGACTGTTTGATGCCTGTTGATGACCCGTTGATGACCTTTTGATGCCTGTTGATGACCGTTTGATGCCTGTTGATGACTTTTTTGCCTACTGATGACCAAATGATGCCCAATTCTACTGATGATGACCGATTTTTCTAGTAGGGGTAGTAGAGTACTTTTCCACGAGTATGAGTACGAGTACTTTGCCATGAGTACCTACATGTACAGCAGTGTCAGTTATAATGGCATATTGAAGGCCTACCTAAACTTGCTTTGCACAATAACTTTCAATGCATTCATACTGCAAGCTTTAAAAATAAATTAAAAATATATATTTTTTCTGTAACGGAAGGACATTTTCGAAGTCACTGAAGCGAAACAAATTACGCAAAACCTAAAAAAAAAAGTTTGTCGGTTTTTCAAGACCAATACTTTCTCATGACAGAAACTGATGGCATTAGTACATATTTTTGTGTGTGTATTGTAGAATACTTTCATATCACTATTACTCACATTTTTAGGATTAAAACAGGATTATTACGTAATCCTATTTTTTGGTACCGAAATGTATCAAAAATAAAAATCCGACTTCAAATCTTGAAACTATAGACTTTAGTTTCAGCTTTCATTTGATGTCAAATTTGTTTACATGTAAGTCACATGTATTTGAATTGTTTTGTGTCATGTCCACTTTGGTGTGGAATTGCCCTATATTATAGACTGGCGCAAGTCCTGCCTCTAATTAAAAGTTAAGAGCCATCTTAAAGTTTGAAAATCTTACTCGGTTTTCCAGGCTTCGCAGCCGCAGTCACTGCACCTTTGTCGTTACCCTGTGAGGAGGTTTTTTTGGGGGGGGGGGCAGGGGGTGTTGTGTTAAGAAAGGAGGACACAAAGTTAATACAAATGTATAAAAATCAACAAGAAATTTATGACTTTTGTTCAGAAACTGTTTTAGCACCCTCTAATTTATGAATAGTTAAAATGCAGTACCCACTGCTATGTACATCAGATTCAAACCGGCCAATCGATCCGGCAAGCTCGGTGGTCGAGTGGTAAGACATCTGCACTTGCGAAAATGTTGATAATTGTGAACGGCCCCTAAGGGGAAAGTAAGGAAGAGCCAATAAATAAATGGCAGCTAAAAGTCTCATGAGATTTGAAGGTTTGCATTCGACAAGGATGTATTGTCCACAAGAATCCGACCAACAAATACAGAGAGTTTGTCAATGCTTTTGTGTTTGTGAATGATCTACGCAAGCGAGCAGATGTCGTGTGTGAGGGCCAGAGACAGTGAAAAGCTGTTCGACGAAGTCACATGCAAGTGTCTATACATGTATATAGACTTGTGTGAAAAAAAAATCAACATTTTTTCGTACACTTTTAGGGGGGGGGGGGACTTGAAAAAGTGTACGCTTTGTACACTTGTGAAAATGTTGATAATTGTGAACGGCCCTTAAGGGGAAAGTAAGGAAGAGCCAATAAATAAATGGCAGCTAAAAGTCTCATGAGATTTGAAGGTGGTGGAAAAATACTAAGACAAGATAAGTTTGCGGTAGCACCATGTGATTAAAGCTCTTTTGTGAGAATGTGTGGTTCTGAAAAGAACCGGAACTAAAAGTCTGTGTACGCGTGTGCGTGCCCATTGTCAATGGTCTAGAAATAAGCCACTAGAGCAACTTAGAAGTGTAGTCATTTTTAATGCTTTTATAATGCTTTTATTGGCCCAAAATATGTCCACAGAACCGATGATTAACTCTCTATCTTCAACTTGTTATGAATCTTATCAGTGTAGAAAATAAACACAATTACTCTATTTGTAGATATAGTGTAGGGGGGGGGGGAACTGGGGGGGGGGATGACTGGGGGGGGGGCAAATGCTTCTTTGACGACGATGCAACGTTACTCATTAAACAATTGAATGATCCCCACTGTAGCGCCGCCACTGCCGGCTAGGACCATATGTGAGTAGAATTGTGCATTGGTTCTCTCCTGTGCCAGGAGGGTTTTTTCTCTAGGCCCTCCGGTACCCTCCTTCCAAAAAAAACAACCACTCTTGATCTCAGGCTGTGCTCCGTGGTCATATATGGGTTGATGTGGCTGGCTGCCAAAGGCGCCTTTACATGCCTGCGGCTCAACCACATTGTAGCCGCGTCCTTCGCAATTCAGCTTCTCAGCTGCGAGTAAGGATGATTAGCCTCCCATTTGAATTATTTATTATAACAAGTATTTTAACTCACCTCGTCCATGGCTTTGACTTTCAGTTTCACCTGGGGAGGGCGAGGCTTGGAGAACACTGGCAGCTTGCTCATGTTCATGGGATGTTTGCGCATTAAGATCCCGTGAAGACAGTGCTGCCCTCTGTTGGTCGTAAAGTGAAATTTACAATTTTGGGGATTCACAACTTTTGATTCTTTGATATCATGCCAAAAGCAATGTATAAAATTCTTAGATAATGTGGGTATTTATAAAGCGCATGTATCCACCAGTACTGGTGCTCCAGACATTACAATGAGCATCGTTGTTACCCTGCTCATTGGGCCAGTGAAACATTCCTCGTCCACGGCTACAGGTCTTTTGACTTTCACCTGTAAATATAAATATCAAAATAAAACCAAGATAGTAATAATCAAAATGAGACCTCACAATGAACAGCATTCAAAAACAGAAATAAAAGCTGAAAAGAACACTTTTTAAATTCGACTAAAAGCATTGTGAAACAGACCAAACACTATGTTAAACAAGTCAAACAAGATTACAACAACCGGATCAACCAAATAAACGATATAATTAACGCAAAGTTGTATCAAAACTAGAACAATGCTTAAATCGTACAAATAAGAAATACAAAACTGACTTAAAGTGGTCAATTACCCAAATGATTATTACAAAATACAAAACACACAAAAGATTCCACAAGCAACGAAAACATTACGACAGTATCACAATTACCCTCAAAACCAGAAACATTCTTCTTTCGTATGATTTGCTGACCACTAAACAATTTTGTGCAGCTGATGTAGCCATGTGACAGTCTCCGGGGTTGGGTTGGTAAGATCTATATGGAGATCTCCAGGTGGTCCGAGGTCCGGGCACTCAAACAGGATGTGGTGTGCAGTCTGTTCAGGGGTACCACAGACGCAGGCCGCGGAGGGCCTCAAGCCCCATCTGTGCATGCTGGCATTGAGACGTCCAACCCCGGTGCGCAGGCAATTGAGAGTGACCCAATCTCTGCGGGGGAGGTGAGCACCTGGTGGAAGTTTAGTACTCGGAAGGGTGGTGAACTGGATTGGTCTCTCAGTCTCTTGCCAGTTGCTTTCCCATTGTTCCATGAGGTAGACGTTGGAACACTCGGGGGAGACTGCATGACGGCCGAAGGGGTGACGAGAGCGGAGGCATTTTCTGCCGAGATCTTCAGCAGCCTTGATGCACTTGTGCAGAATGTGATTGTCATCTTGGGAGGCCTTCTCTGCCAGCACGTGCATATGATGTTCTTAATGTGTTAGTACTTGCACCCCAGGTAGGCCCTGCAAGGCGGCGGAGGAGGTTGTACCTTGATGAAACTTTTGCTCGGTGTGATTCCAGGTGTTGCCTGTATGTTAGCTGTCTGTCAAGTTTGACTCCCAGATATGCTGGCGTAGGAGTGTAGGGCAAGGTTGTTTCTCTAGTTGGACTTTGAGTTGACGATTGGCATGCTTATTTGCAAGATGGAAGGCTGTTGCTGTAGTTTTGGCCAGAAACATTCATGAACTGACATAAAAAATATAACAAGTCAATTTACATTAAAGTCGCAGCGCACAAACAATCACAATCAATCAAAAGTACATGCAACTAAAACAAATATCAACATCGTGAATTACAAAATCAAAACAAGACAAAGAGATAAAAAGGACATGTGGTAAAAAATTGGCAAATTACTAACTAACAAAATCACGAAGTTGCAGACATCACGTAAAGAAGGTCAATCAATTTGGAATCAAAATACATAATCACGTTTAACCAGTTACAAATAGATGGGTTTTTAAAGCCTTCTTAAAAAGATCAAGAGACGTAATGGAGCGAATGTTGGCTGGTAACCTGTTCAAGACTGACACTGATGATTTAGCAAAAGACCTATCACCGTAGAAAATTGTTGGACTTGGACTTGGATGACTGAGGAGGTGTTGAGTTGAAGAACGCAAGGCGCGGTTGGGTTTATGTTCGGTTAGGAGTTCACTGATATATGATGGTGCCATGTCTTTGAGCGCCTTGAATGTCAGAAGTGCAATCTTGTAGTTGATGCGTTGCCTTACAGGTAGCCAATGCAAGTCATGAAGGATGGGTTGTATGTGATCATGTTTCTTGCATCGGGTCACCAACCGGGCTGCAGAGTTTTAGACTCTTTGTAACTTATTAATCTCACAATCCGGAAGTCCATAGAGGAGACTGTTACAGAAGTCAAGACCGGAGGACACAAACGCATGGACTAACCGCTCAACCGACTTACGATCGACATATCGATTGAGTTTACCAATTTTGTAAATTGCAAAAGAAGCAGCCTGAACGACATTTTTCACGTGATCTTTCATGTGAAGTGTGTGGTCGATGGTCACTCCAAGATTCCTTGCAACACTAACTGTTTCAATGTCAAATTCACCGACAGTGAGTTTAGGGAACGCCGGGGTCTTCAGAAACTTATAACTGATGTGGACGATCTCAGTCTTGGAGCCGTTCAGTATCAGGTTATCGGCAGCTGTCCAAACCTTGATATCTCGCAAACACTCCCTTAGTCTCGATGTAGCTTCTGAACGCTCCTGTCGTTGCAGTGTATATCTGCATCAGCATATGTCATGTAGTTGATTCCATGAGCGTTGAGAATATCTCCAAGGGGAGCAGTGTACATTGTGAAGATGACTGGGCCTAGTACGGATCCTCGGGGTACTCCGTGCTCAAGTATGTGCTTATGCGACAGTACATCTCTAATTCTTACAGCTTGCAACCGACCCTGAAGATAAGATTGGAAACAATCAAGGGCGGATCCAGTGATGCCGTAACGATCACGCAGACGTTGGATGAGAAGTTGATGGTTAATTGTGTCAAACGCCGCGGAGAAATCCAACAGGATAAGAACCGCCTCCTGTTGTTGATCTACAGCTCGCAAGAGGTTGTTCTGATTGCGAAGCAGGGCTGTTTCTGTACTGTGAAATAGTCGGTAGGCAGATTGCATTGGTGAATGAAGACTGTGTTCATCAAGATAGTCAGTAAGCTGTGTCACAACAGCTCGCTCAATGGTTTTGAAGAGAAACTTCAAGTTTGAAATCGGCCGATAATTCTTTATTTCGTGCCGATCCAAAGTGGTCTTCTTGAGCACAGGAGTAACATGAGCCTCTTTGAGGGAGTCAGGCATAAGGCCACACGCTAGGGATGCGTTGATGATACGGGTGATAGATGTCAATAATGAATCCAGACATTGCTTGAGAAGACTGGTTGGAATTGGATCCAGTGTACAAGATTTAGTAGCAGATTTCAAAATAAGTCTTTTGACGTCGTTGCATGTGACTGGTTGAAATGAAGAGAGTGTGCTGTTACAGTCACGCTGGATATCAACCGAGAGGTCGACGGCGTTTTTGTCGATGGAACTGATCAGGTTGTTCACCTTCTCGTGGAAGAAACCTGCAAAAACATTGGCGAGTGTTTTGACGTTATCATGACGCTTTTCTTTTCTTTTCCAGATCAAATTATCACGAAATACTAGTGTTGTAGTAGAGTACTTTTCCACGAGTATGAGTATGAGTACTTTGCCATGAGTACTCGTAAGAGTATGAGTACAAGGCAAACATTTTCCATGAGTACGAGTACTTATCCAATGTACGAGTAAGAGGAGTAAGAGTAGTTTTCCGTGTGAACGAGTACGAGTACTTTTCCAAAAGTACCGGTACGACGACATTTCCATGGGTAAATAAAGAAAATAATGAGAATAAGTGAGCATTTGTCCATAAAAAGGCACTAGTAATGCATGTCTTAAGAAAAGTGAAATGTCTCCACTTCTGTACATCTGATTTCAAAATATAAAAAGTTTTCAATTTCTGAAAGCCAGCCCGGCATCTTGAAATAAATTCAGGTTTAACACGAGCCAGAACAAAAGAGAAAAAACAAACAGAAAGTGCCCAATAAGAAACGTGCAAGCAACACCAACAGAGGAACTGTTTACCTTTCTCATTGGCGCTTCCGTTGGATCCGGATCCTCACCAGTGGTTAAATTCTAAAAAAAAAAAGGTAAATGTTTTAACCCAGTTTTACATTTTTATTATAGATTATATATTCAAGTATGAGAACATTTTTTTTGAGAAATCGTGTCTTAAAGTAACAAATATTTTTTTTACTAAAAAGAACTCCAAAAATGTGGTAAACTTATTGCTATTAATGCAATTACAGATTTCAATCATAATATGATTATATTAGATATGATATTTTAATCATGTCCTCCGGACTGTAAATCTGCTTGTCTACACTAAATGCCACAACTGGGTGACATACCAGTTCAGAAGGAATTTCCAACTGTATAATTGTTCCCTTATTTTTTGCAGGCACATATCTTCCCTCTATATTATGCTTATTAGAATTGGAAATATATCAGGACAAGCAAAATGCTAGTGATGAAACCAAATTACATATGACAGATATTACTTAGGAAAATATATATATACACCCCTTTAAAAACAAAGAAAAACTACAATTTTTACAGTAAGGAATCACATGGGAAGAAACAAATCATACACATCTAAAGCATCTGAAAAATACAAAATGCATACACATATATAAGCATTACACAAACACACATAAAACTGATATATTGTATATTGCTATAAAGCACACTGGACACACTTGTATCTCACTGTATTGATGCACCGATGTGGTAGTATTTTTTTTCTACAGTTTTAAAAAGAGCGCAATCTCAGCATTACTGCTGTGAAGACCACATGTTGGTACCATCTTAACATTGTAGTTAAACAAATTATGGAAGTCGGAACACCTACTGTACAGATGTGATGAAGTGGCCCTATTTTGGCCTGAATCTCCAAAGCATGCACAGATTTTAGAACACGAAATTTAAAAAGAAAATTGTGGCCTAGTTTTATGGATCTTCTTTCCATTCGGGAATAATTCTTGTTTAAAAAGGTACATATGGGATATTTACCCAAGTAACCGGCTCGGCAAGTCGGTTACTTGGGCCAGGCTTGACTAAGCGCGACAAGTCATGTGAGAGGTAAATCTAACGCTGTCGCGCTTGCATGAGTAAGTGCGGGAGAAGTAATTGAATGCACTGGAGGTGACAGACGGACTGTTCCATTCCACAAGGAACATTCCATCTGTCACCAATTACTCTGTTCATTGCATTTACCGCACCTTGGCCTTAGCCAGTTCGCCCCTGGAGTCGCACAGCTGGCTCTGCAACTGGATATTGGTCTGCAGCAGGTCGCTGTTTTCCTGTTGCAGACGAAGAATGGTGGTGGATGCAGGATCATTTTCTTGCATCTTTTTGGGGCCTGAGTTTGACAATCGAGCTAGATTCAGAGATGGTCTGTTCTCGTCAACTATTATAATCTTTTTTTAAATTTTGTTTTAAAACTTCTCCCAAAGACTTTTATCAGATTTTAACAAAACAGGTATTCTTTTTTCTACTGTGGGCATCTGGATTGTTACAAAGTGTAATTATCTCATTTAAAAAAAAAATGTTTTGGTGTCAACGATTTCTACATTGATTATTTTCTCCACATTGAAAAAAAAATGCACAATAGACCTTTATCACAGTGCCACCATTTCAGTCATGTTCCCTGTATCCAATAATAGTATTGAATGATAATGTTTTTTTGTGCAAAAAGGAACCAGACAGTTTTTTCTTCCAGCCTGCGTATTTTATTTTTGCAGCGTACATCCTATTTTAACCATTTTATTTTAACGCTGTCGCGCTTGCATGAGTAAGCGGGGGAAGTAATCGAACGCACTGGAGGTGACAGACGGACTGTTCCATTCCACAAGGTGAAGCCGGGTGGAATGGAACATTCCATCTGTCACCAATTACTGTGTCGAAACTTTCTTTCGGCCCGTTCCAGCGCATCCTGCTTGTTGCTGGTTGTTCAAATGTCTTCAAATAAATTGGTTAAACCTCTTGCCTGGTATTAAGAATTTTCTAATAATTCAGTTTTTTTTCTTCTTTTTTTTTCTTCCAACGAAAAGGCAGTGATCTTAAAGTTCTTGTCTTGCCATTATAAGTATTATTCGTAATTTAAGCCCTTTTATCTTCTTTCTTTTTTCTTCATTTTTCTTGGTACGCTCCTTGTTTTCTTAATGAACAAAATTAAATTCAACTCGATCTTGTAATCCTTAAAAACCACTTGTTTCTGTCATTCAACAGTAAGGCTTTAAAGTTTTCATTTCAAAAGCTTAATCATTCCTAATAACAATTTATTGTTGGCAAAATAATTTGCGTTTACAAACATAACCACGTTATATTTTGGTCAATACCATTTTTTTTTCTTGAAAGTCCCTTCTTGGTTGGACTTTGTTCAACTTTAAAGGGCCTATGAAATAATATTTTTCTAGACATTCAAACAACTCTTTATTCATTCCGACAAAAGAGGTTTCTTTGCCGAACAGACTCTTTTTTTTTTTTTTTTAAACTTAAATTAGTACAAAAAATTACTTAAACAAAAAGGCACTCCATGGGCCCCTTATTTCTGGAAGACAAGTTGCTGGTGTACATGTAATTAAAAAGTAACACCGTACAGAAATGTGGTGTTGCGCAGGCAATGTGTCCGGACATCTTCCTCATTCATCCGTCGGATGCAGGCAACCTCGTGGGCGACTAGGCGGGCATTTGTTGGGTTGCTGTAGCTCGAGCGGGACCATGGAGGAATGAAGTGGGGGGCGTCCGTTTCCAGTACAAGCCGTTCCAGCGGAATTCTTTTGGCCACCTCTTTAAACTCTGGATCATTCTTATGATGATAGGTGTTAGGCCAATAAATAGGTTTGGAAAAAGCCTGCACCAGGTTCTTGCCGTCTTCCAGTTGTTGATGAAACAATGGAGGTGGATCTTCCATTGTTGGAGAAGAATCTCTTTCTTTGTAGCAAGAATGTTTGAATATGAAATAAGTGTAAATGATTGAAGTTCCCAGTAAAAGACGCCAGGGAGTGTGAGGATAGAGGATAGAGGTGTCAATTATTGTTACAATTCCCTTCCAAGCAGGCCCATCACGGAGGTGGGTGGGCAGAGGCCGCCCCCCAAAGGGGCAACTGCCCCTCCCCTCGACAAAAACCATAAGCGTAAAACGTATAGAGGTGTGTTATTGCTTGTAGTGTGCCTCCCTAATTCATACTGTGGCCCCCCTAATGCCCGGAGCTGGTGACAATTAGTAAATCCATGATGTCCTGGTTGATGATCCCTGAAAGCCAGCTTGATTCTGCCTGTGGAATCTAGCTTCCCTGAAGACCTGAATCTTCCTGGTTGATAGTGCATCATATCAAGTCTTCAGGATCAACTTTTCTTGTCAAGGTTGCATAATTACAAAATCATCTTTGCCTTTGCTTGCCCCGTCTGATGTCTCTTCAGAAAAAAATCCTGCACATAAAAAAATCAATCCAATACAAAAGACCAAGTTTACACGGGTGTTTCCTAAAATATAGAAATGTGGATTAACTGTACGATCCAAGAAGAAAGCATCTGCGAAGCATGCCGGCAGGAAAGTTCACCATACCTTCATCAGTGAAGTCCTCCTGAAAGTCAAAGTCCAGGTCGCTCGGGTCATGGGGTCTCAGTTTCTGCCTCAGAGCCCGATTCGCCTGCCGTAAAAGGTCGACACATAAGAAGCAAACAAAAAATAAGTTAAACTTAATAATTAAACAGCAAATGTACAATAAATGTGTTAATCAAAAACTAGAAAATAAAATTAGTTAAAATATAAACTATAGAATATTCATCAATGAGAACGGCTACATACAACGAATATATTGACATGGAATGCTGACCCAAGATTAATGCTTGATCTCCTCCCTTAATGTCCTTTTCCAGCTCCTCTCTCCGTTGTCTCTCCTCTTCTATGTCCACCTCCATCGCACAAGTCATTTTGACCCAGAAATTTGGGAGGAGGATGTCCTCTCCCATGTGGTGATTACTAACCTTGATGTCCCCTGTGGAGATCAGCTCCTTGATAGTGTCCTCGATGACATCCTCCAATTTTGCATCTTGTGCATCTTGTGCATCCTAGGGCATTGAGAAATGGGGGAACATGAATCTAGTTAATATAACCCTTGCTTGTAGTAGTGAAATTGATCCCACAGGTTCGGTTCGGTTGCGGCTGAGGTTCAGATTTTTTTCCCTGAATGTTTGTGCATGGCTCAGGCAGTGTTCCATAAGCTCCCGCTGCAGTCCCTGCACCTCACCCTTCTAATCTTCCTGGGCGGCCTGCAGGGGCGAGTGGTCCTTTTGACATTGTTTTCGAGTACAGGCAAATATATCTCTTCCCCTCTTACATTTGCAATTCGAATAACCTTTCTTTGATTTTTCAGAAACGAATCCTAGAAAGGGAAACAAAAGTCACAAAATGTATAAACATGTCACAAAAGTCACAAAATGTATAAAGTCACAAAATGTATAAACAGCAATGTAATATAACCACTTAATTATAGCAAGAATGTTTGATTATGTATAACTCACTTGACTGTATGTGAATTTCCTTTAAAGCATGGCATCTCAGTTGCGCTGTCATTTGCAAGAAAAGTAGAATTTTTGTTTCAATTTTAAATGATGGGGGCCTACAATTGTTCGAAGAAAACCATACGTTTTTCAAATACTGCCCCCCCCCCCCCCCATTTACCAAATTTATTTGTCCAAATTTTGCTTGCAATCGGTTACATCTGCGAACGGGTGCAAGCCAGCTAGTCTTGTTCCCTGACCTGGCAATTCCAACGTCTATAAATTGCTCCCTTTTGTCTGAAGTATATAGGGTCAGGGAACCAGACCAGTATTTTTTTTCTTGGGCAAGACACTTTACTACAATTGATTCTCCACCCAGGATTATAAATTGGTACTATACATGTAGCTAGCTGTGAGGATAGAGATATATTGTCCCTAGATGCTGCAGAAGACAGGTTCTCTTGGCATTGATGAACATTCCCGATGGAAGAAACTCAAACATGGTTTTCAACACATGATTTTCACTGGCTACGATCGACTTGGCTTTTCTGAGTACTTGTTGTTCGCAAAACTGACTAAGATCTCTCTGGGGCTCTCCGGTAATTTTGGACCAAAGGTTAACTATCTTTTGCAAACTGTTCCTATTCTTAGCATGGAATGCTTGGGAGTACTTCATCTGTCTTACTGCCAGATTTGGATTATTATGAAAAAATGATAAGGTATGCTTGCTTCTTATTTTCTCAGTCTAAGTCTGTTTTTTCCCTTTGACCATTTAATGCGACTTAATAAAAGGGCCCATGCAATGTAGTTTTTTGATACAGTCCTTGTACCTTTGTGCCCCATTTCACCTTTTCAATTTTCGTTTTGCCATTTTCAAGGGTATTTAGGCGCCTTTTTTATTTTTATGCTAATGCCAATTTCCATATTCATGAGCAAAAGTATGATGTCATTTAATTCAGGCAGAAACCTCTGTTACAGCCATTTCAGCACAAAAAGTTACCAAATTTGTGATATTTTGCTTTTCTAAATTTTGCTTTGGTGATTCGTTTTTGAAGGCCAATGAGCAGCATTTTCTCACTCCTGTTTTCAATTAGCAGATTTTTGGATTCACATTTGAACGGAAAACGCCTATAAGTGAACAGTGTTTTTCTGAAATGACATCACGGCCAACAGTGCCCTCAGTTGTCTGGAAAAGCAGGGAAAATTGTAACTGTTGAAAGAAAAAAACGGGGATGTGAAATAATGTTCATACATTTAAGAGGAGTAAAAGGTTGCACAAGAAGTGTTCCCAAGAAAAAAAAACCCATTTTTGTTGTGGGCACTTAAAAAAATGTGTGAGAATACTTATAATAAACTGATAAGGCAACAATCACATGTATTTTATATACAATTATGTCCATGGGTGGATCCAGGAGGGGGTTGTGGGTTTAGCTGTTCTTATTGTCTTAAAAATAGTCTTAAAGTCTGTGACCTGTCTTGCAGCATATCCGAGTGAGCTTTCAATGAAATAATACAAATGACTGTAAGGAATAAAGTTGACATTGTTTTTTTTGGGGGGGGGGGGGGGGCCATAAGTGAGTAAAGGATATTTAAGATCAGTCCTCAATTTCACTTGTGAAGAATGGATATACATGTACAAATGGTTAATTTTAGTTGGTGTAAATATAATTAATACAATGAATGTATAATAACATATAAAGAATACTATAATATTGAGCTTAATTGCCTGTTGTGATAAATGAGGAAAAATCCACTATTGAAGGGCACCTGTTATGCATCTTGAAGTGAGTTGTGTATCAGTCTTAATTGTATTGAATTGTAACAAGTGCGAGTGCACAATAATTAAGCTCTGGCTGTCTTGCAAGAAAGTCTTGCATGAAATCTATCAATATGATCAAAATGATCCCTGCCAGAGCTTAAAATGTGAACAGTGGCGGTTCTACGGGGGGCTGGGGGAGGGCTTTAGCCCCCCCCCCCAATTTTGTCTGCCCCCCCCCCCCCAAATATTCCATAAAAATAAAAAATTGCATTAGCGAAAAGAAGGAATGTGACGTACATTCGAACGGTCTCAACTGGGTCAATATTGGTCAAGACCTCCATTGGTTTGTACACAGTAGGCCAGGAGGTGAGGAACAAAATGTTGACCATTGATGACCTCTTAAGTAAAGGGAGGGTTCTAAAGAAATAGTTGTGACAAGGGTGCATTTGAAGTTAATATAGTGTGCCCAATTGTAGGATTTTATTGGGACTCCCCATTGAAAATAAGGCACGCCCCCTCCCCCACCCCCTTATTGATTTTTGGAGCATTAAGTGTCTGTAGAAAATAAGCAGTCTACATTTCAGCACGCCTCCCTGTAAAATATTCTGGATCCGCCCTGCTAGCCCCCCCCCCCCCCCCGAAAAAAATATTGGCTCTAGAACCGCGCCTGAATGTGACTCCCACAAATGTGACGCTGATGGCACATGTGGAACACCATACTTTAGATATACAGTCAACTCTCGTTAGTACAAACTCTGTTAATACAAAATTCTGGTTATAAAAAACATAAAGACCTGGTCCCGACTGCGCATTTATGTGCACAATGAATGGGACTGATGTTCCTCTTAATACAAAATTCTGATATAACAAACAGTTTGGCTAGGTCTGAACGAGTTTGTTATAACGAGACTCAACTGTATACCTAGATTTGTAGCGCTTTGTGGTAAATACCACATGACTATAATCAAAGCACATATTTTGCCTGCATTTACACTCTTTTCATAAACATCTTTCCGAACTGTTACTTACAATTGTTGTTAACTATTTAGTTTATTTTGTTTGCTATTTCTTGGAATTTAAAGTTATATTTTGTAGGAAACTTAGGGGGCTTTATTTTGGTCAAGTGACATGTAGAAGCTCCTGCTAGAGCTTAAAAAAATGGTTATTATTGGCACAAGCTCTGAGCTTGTACCTAATACCAGAGCATGCATGTATCAACTTATTACTGTCAAATTAGACATTGATGATTTAGTCTACTTAGGAGAAGACAATCTAATGATGGCTCAAATTACTCCAATTTTATTCTACCATAGAGTAATTCGACCAAGTCAATGCAATGAGTCGCCCACAAGAAAAATGGGTGTCTCACAAAAACAAATATTTTCTGAACAGAATTGTTTAGTTATATGGGTAGGTCATTCTATAAATTAGGGGTCCAATAGGAAAATGTGTCTGGTTTGTTATATAACTAAATAGGAATGTATTCAAGTTAGTAATACTTTATGTTTAACAAACTCCAATAAAATTTGCATTGATAAAACCTACAAGTTTGTTATCTTGATCCCATTTAGTTCCTGTTTTGGTTAAAAATAAGCCGAAAATTCTCATATTTTTGGCTAAAAAGTGGGACAACAATTACGGTCTACAAAATATTTACATTTTTTCCTCCTTAAAAGGTAAGCTATGCCATTTTTTTAGGTCAAAATGATGGATGTACTAACTCAATTTTACCATCCGGATGGAAGTAAATACATCTCATATTATGAAAAGCAAGATTGGCCATAATTAAAATAACTTAAGGTTTTTGAGCTCTTTTAATGCAATGTCCCACTTTGGACCCCTAATTGATAGATTAACCCATATCCATCTTTCATAACTGTACAGTACTCTTACCATATAATGTAGGTCAAAGCAATGTGATAATTCTCGGGGAAAAAAAACACATAAATGCATTGGTAACGAACTGCTTGAATTCCAGGTCATGTGGCTGGAAAACGCTTCAAACTTAATTCTGATAACAAAAGTGGCACCACAATAAGATTATGATAAACTGTAGCATGACTTGTTGTAAATCCCCAAGGTTAAACTTATTTGAATATGTGTTTGTACATGTGTATGTATTATCAAAGTATGTATTATCAAACAGAATGTATTTTTTTACAGTATTAATTTCTGACTTTAATACTATTAAAGGGAAATGTACATCATTGGTAATTGTTGTAATTTTCAGAAATGAACTATTTGATCGGGTTAGTATAATAGATCAAATATTGTTACACTGACATGTTTGAAGTTTTGTGTTCGAAAATGCTGGAAAAACTAAGAAAAACAAAAATGTTTAAGGAGTCTGGTTCTCTGACTCCATTAAAGATGAAATGGATCAATTTATCTTTATCAGGATGCTTTAAACTGTCATTTACCAACATCCTAGTAAGGTTTTTCGTAAAAAAAAGGGTAGTTTTGTTTTCCGATGTTTGCAAATGTTGTATATTCCCTTTAAAGTCAAATACAATGTCGTGGAGGTACAGAAAATGTGTTACTTTAGTTTTCATTGTCCATTTTTAAAGGTTCATTTGATTTTGGCCATTTATTAGCCTTTGGCCGTGTTGGCTCAGTAAAAAAAAATGCTTTGAACTCGGACATGCATCAAGACTTTTTTTTAAAGTTATAACATATATGATATTCAGGTTTTTTTCTAAATGAGGAACAATTGATGAAAATTGTGTATAGAAAGAATTGGTTTTGAACTCCGACATGTATCAATACTTTTGTTTTTAAGTTATAAAATCCGGTATGCAGGTTTCCTTATAAATAAGTAGCAATTGAGGAAAATTGTGTAAAAGAAAAATGGTTGAACTCTGTTATGTATCAATAGTTTTGTTTTTTAGAACAATTGAGGAAATACCGTGTAAAAAAGAGTGTTTTTTTAGTGTTACATGATCTGTATGGTATTCTGTATGGTATGGTTTTCTTCTTAATGAGGAGCAATTGATGAAATTCACTAAAGTACATGTATGTCTTCTCGCTGTGTTGAAACTACAGCAACCTGCAGCAGGGGCGCTAAGGGGGGGGGGGTGCTTGCCCCCCCCCCCCTTCCAAGAAAAAGGTTTCCCATGATTTGACCTTGGTGATATGTATGCGGCCTATTTTCGAGTAATATAATAGGGGTGTAAGTGGCGCCACCAACGTCAAAATAGTCCATCCCCTCTCCCCCCCCCCCCCAAAAAAAATTCTGCGACGAAAAAATTTGGGAAAATTTAACATTTTGAAAATTTTGATATCTTCTAAGAAATAATAAAAAAAATCGAGCCCCACCCCCCCCCCCCCCCCGAAATCCTTGGTGGGCCACTGACCTGTAGCACATATAGTGAGAAACTTTGCAGGTTTTAAATAAAAAACTTTGAATAGCATGTAATTAGAAATGTAATATTGGAAGTTAAGATGAACAAAAAGGTTAAGATGAAAGATTATAATGTCTTATGATTTTTGACACCTATTTGCAATGAATATTAGGCAACATTTTCAGTGTAAGTTAATAAAATATCAGTGAAAACTTCAGATGATTTTTTTCTGTTTTATTCATTCGCACGTTTGTTGCATTGAAGTACGTACATCATAAGATATTAACAAAATCCAATGGAGTCGGCCCCTATCCCTCATCCAATTTGAGACATGGCTTGTCTGGCCCATGCTAGAGAAAAATGCTGTGGATTTGTGGTGCTGCCCCGCTCCCCCCCCCCCCCCCCTCCCTACCACCACCAGGATGAAAAAAATCCAAGCTACCTACACCACTGCAGTTCGAATATCTGCATTTGGTTGACACATCCCCCATTGATACTAGTATGCTTGCATATTGGAGCCAGCGGCGCATCCATTGACAATTTTTTTTCTAGTTGAGCCCCCCCAACCCTCCCCCAAGCCAAATCCTGGGTGCGCCATTGATTGGAGCTAAAATTAATAAAGCATACTACTTTAATAGCCTTTGATACTGTCTTGGGAGGGGAGTATATGCCCCTTAATGGCCTCTTAGCACTGTTGTCCAAAAATAATTTGAATACTTGCAATGGGTGCATACGTATTTTTGTTTTGCTTGGGAATGGCCCGATCCAGTAAGCACCGCCCCATGGTGTTCTGACCAATCAGTGATCACAGCCGTGATTTATGTCCGACGTGCGTGCACGCGCGTATGATGTGTATGATGCACGCGGAAAGAAAATGCAGCGTGGCATTGGAGAGGAGCACGTGTTAATTTGCCCACATGCGTACTGGGCGGAGCTTACTGGATTGGTCCATTGGCCGTACTTTCTATCAAAGGCTGCATCCGAATCAGCTGTCTAGAGCTAGGTCTACGTCTGCGTCCATTGAAAATACGCGGGGACGCGCTGACAACAGACGTAGCCGTAGCTCTGGAAGCCCGTTTCGTACACGGCCAAAGATCCTATCTTAACCCTTTCAAGCCCCATTGAAAACAGTGTAAAATTGACAAAGTTCAGGGCCAAATAACATGGAGGCCGACATCACTGGGGTTTCTCAAACCAAAATTAAATTATTGTCTTGTCCTTCATCGTTTTATTCCTTTTCAATTTTGGGTAGACAGCCAATTATATTTTTAAATACATTGATATTCACACCAAAACGCAACAGTTCCCAAGCCTGCATGAAGCCCTTCCAGAAGTTCCACTTTCTCAGGCAAATAGGACTCATTTTTCAACCGTAATTTTATCAAGTCTGCCCTCAGATGGAAGTCCCGAAAACCAGGGAGTTGATCCTTGACCATATTTACACAATTCCACTGTTTTTAAAGCCGAAACGGTGTCCGTTTTCAAAAGAAATGGGGGGGGGGGGGGTTACTTTTATGCTAATGTTGTGAGCTCGCGTAGAAATTCTAACTTGAATGAGTGCACTGCACGCCTAGCGCTAGAGGGCGCAACGTTGGCTCGCTTGTCATCATTTCCATTATTTTAGCAAACACTAGAGCCAGCTGAACGGACCGTAATTACTGGGCGAAAACACAACTTTTCTTTGAAAATGACGCGGCATCAAAGAAACTGTACTGCTGGGACTGTTTACACTTATCATGAGCGGCAGAAAGATACAGGTAAGTTTTCTCATGGAGCTGTTTCATTTTTTACGTAGGCCGCCCTGCTAGGCCTAAATGAAAATAAACGGCCACAGGTAAAATGACGGGAAACAGGACAACTCGTACGCGAGACAACTCGTACGCGAGACAACTCGTACGCGAGACAACTCGTACGCGAGACAACTCGTACGCGAGACAACTCGTACGCGAGACAACTCGTACGCGAGACAACTCGTACGCGAGACAACTCGTACGCGAGACAACTCGTACGCGAGACAACTCGTACGCGAGACAACTCGTACGCGAGACAACTCGTACGCGAGACAACTCGTACGCGAGACAACTCGTACGCGAGACAACTCGTACGCGAGACAACTCGTACGCGAGACAACTCGTACGCGAGACAACTCGTACGCGGTTTGGTCAACTCGTACGCGGGCCAACTCGTACGCGCGACAACTCGTACCCGGGCCAACTCGTACGCTGGCCCAACTCGTACGCTGGCCAACTCGTACGCGGGTCAACTCGTACGCGGAGGATCGCCAACTTGAAGATGAATTTTACCCCAAAACACACGCCAAAGTTAACGATTCATCACAGCGGTGTGATTGTATGACTGAATGACTGTAATTGTAGTTATATATATTTTCAACAATTTTAAATTCCATAAATGCAACGATGTTCAAGTTCACAAGTTTCAATGATAAATTAAAAAAAAAAACATGATCCTTTTTGCGACCGATGTGTAGTGCAATGCCGCGGCATGCTCTTCCAATCACGCAGCTAGTGTGGAGAATTTGTCAAGATATATAATCAACGACTTGATTTACACATGGCGTGGGGCCGCTATAGCAGTGTATTGTTGGAAGTCTACAAATGCAGTGGACATTATACATTTAAATTCTCACTACACGGCATCATCTTGTCGTAAAGTGTGAGCTAGGATCGGACCGTCGGACTTGCCCGACCGTGTGCGAGCATGGCGAGTGGTCTGGGAAAACAAATCATAACTTTTTTGTTATGAGCAAAACAAGCTGATTTAAAGATGAACTGATTGGGACCACTCAGTGACACAAAATAATCCCCTTAACTTAAGGGAAAAAGAATGTGCTGGACAACTGACCGACCCTAATTTCCTACACGCCTGAACCTACGGTTTCAGTAAAATCCCTTGTGCTACGGCTGCTAGTCTATACTCACGCATACGAGTTGGCTCGCGTACGAGTTGGTCCGCGTACGAGTTATCCCTCGTACGAGTTGACTCGCGTACGAGTTGGTTCGCGTACGAGTTGTCCTGCGAGCGAGTTGGTCGCATACGAGTTGGCTCGCGTACGAGTTGACCTGTATTCAAATGAGGCACTCGTGGAATGACGCACTCACCTTTCATGCAGTGTGCGTGCGCGATGTATGTGAGTACCATACTGCTTTCAGGCGCGCTAGTGGTTTGAATTTACTTGGTACTAGCTCTACTGAGTGGAGCGTTGAATTACGGGTACCCCTCCATACAAACGCTCCACCGATTTACCATACTTTGGTAGCACTTACACGGTCGTCATGACGGTATGCATTTTGTGCATGCCCTCGCGAGGACAAGGCCCAAAAAAACTGATAAAGAAAATACAAATGAGGAAGACAGTAACCCTGGATAGATCCACACATTCATGACATTCCATAAGACCCCTCAAATTGTTTCAAACAACCGGTAATTTTGAAAAAAGAACAAAATAGTCTGAACTTACCGCTCACAATTAAATGTGTCTGCCGAATTGCACAGTCTATTTCACTGACATGACTGATGCATAATTCATTGCGCGCGTGTGTGACGTCACTATTGAAGAAAAACAAGTTGCGCTTACTCAATAGCTGTTTCATGTAGTCATATGTGCCCCGCGCCGTCTGACTGTGGGTTTTTGGTGCGGGGCACATATCAGTACATGAAACAGTCATGAATGTGTGGATCTATCCAGGGTTACTGTCTTCCTCATTTGTATTTTCTTTATCAGTTTTTTTGGGCCTTGTCCTCGCGAGGGCATGCACAAAATGCATACCGTCATGACGACCGTGTAAGTGCTACCAAAGTATGGCAAATAGGTGGAGCGTTTGTATGGAGGGGTACCCGTAATTCAACGCTCCACTCAGTAGAGCTAACTTGGTACTTGGTACTTAGGGTACAATTGCAGAATACCCCGCCATTCAATCTATCCAGCTCGTACTCGTAGCCTAGTTTGAGTAACTCCAGCTGACATGCTCATAAGTCATATTCATTCACATGTAGCGCTGGAGGAATAGGCCTAACCTCGTTAGAGTGTGGTAGCAAGAGACCCTAAAAAAATGGCCTCTCAAAAATTGTTCATTTTCACCTCTAATATCCCACCCCAGAGTTCATTTACATACCTCATACATTCAGCAGTCATTTACTAAGCCTAATGATCGACTTGAAACAGACCACACAAAAAAATGTGAAAAATCTTGACGATTTCGAAGGCTTGTCCGTAAAAAAATGCCAGTTCCAACGGTTGTCGTCCATTTTAATTTGCTAATTATGTAAATGTATGCATCACGTGGTGACATCGAAAAAAATCTGCGCGCGTGATGTATGTGGGTACCACACCGCTTTCAGGCGCCGCAAGTGAGTTCAATTTTCGTCTGGTGCGTTGTCGCGGAAAGCAAGACAACGAGAATGCTCTCCACGACAACGCACCAGACGAAAATAAAGGCCACACTTGGAACATGTACCTGAAAATGTAGAACTTTGTCAAGTTTTTATTTTCACATTTAGATTTTGTAGTGAGGCACAATTACAGAATATGCACGTTTCCCCCGACTTTCTTTGTGTAATGTTGCCAAACCTCTCCGTAGAAAAACCTTCAAATTTATTCAGTTTAATAGTGGTACCATTTCCTTAATAATGCTTGCTGTTGAACCTTTGTGAACAATTTAAGTGTCATGAATAAGTCCAATATTCAAAAACGGTGGCGTCCGGAAATTGGGCTCAAATTTGGCCGAGAGTTCCGTAACGTGGCGCACTTGAACAAATCTCTTAAAATCCCACATTAGCGTCCAAAGAATTTCATTAAAGTTGATAAATTCTATTGAATCATTATTATCTACACTCACATACACAACTACAAGTTTGTCAGCAAATTTTTCATATTTTTGGGCAAATTTTAAAAGGGTTCATTGTGCACTTTGAAAAAAAAATCGGAAAATCATACCAAAATAGAATTTTCCTAACTTCGTAGCGGGTACATAAACTCAAGATTTAGGAATGTGAATGTCTAGAGCTTGATTAAATTTCTTTCTTTTTTTTGTGAAATTTGACGTAACAATTTTGCTCCAACAAGGCACTAGAGAGCGAAAAATCAAAGTGCACCACTTTGAGGGCGCGCCACATTAGGGTACATCAACAGTAGGGTAAACTGGGGTAAAAACGCCCGATTTTTAAGTTTTTGTTAAATATCTCAGTACTACTTGGAGACACCAGGAAATAAATGTGTGGTTTTATGCAATACATGTCTCCTCTATCAGGTGCAAATATAATATCATGGTCATAATATTGATAGGGGGAAATTTTCCCCCCTTTTCGGAAGGAAGTTTGGCGGGCGTTTTTACCCGGGCCTCGGGGTAAAAACGCCCGCCCACATTTATAAAAAAAAAATGGCTATACCACAGGCTTCCCTGTGGTATAGTCATATTTTTGTAATTAATTTAATATTGAGGGATACTTCATCAAATACAAATAACTTTTTAAACACAACTGGTTAATTATATCTACAAACTTGATCATTTGAAACAGGTATTTTTATGTGAAAGGAAGCGGAACATTAGCGTACATAATTTGCCCATGACAAACTTGTATTGAAAAATCTATTTCAATCTTGTTTAGCCAAATCATAGTTCCATGTTATTAGGCATGTATGAATGTTTCTAGCCTTCTGCTGATAACCTTAGGCTTTATCAAAGGAGAACTACGGTACTAAGATACGCACATTTCTGTAACAACGAGTTACAGAAGTTCCTAGAGAAAAGAAATGTGTTCGTGGACATGATGGAGAACCTTCTACTCTGTAACCACAAGAAAGAGGAAATTGCTAACTGGTCATAAAAGACGTACAATTTGAAATCTGTGAGCAATACATCATGAATGAAACACGACCAAAAGAACCACCTCTAGTCTTCAAGATCACCTACACACCACTCATCAAAACCCAGCAGCTAACAAAAGTATTGCTGAAAGACTGGCATTTAATTCCAGAACACCTGAAATTATGCAATCCGTTTCCCAGCGAACCAATTACTGCTTATTATAAAGCCAAAAATCTTGAAGGTGTACTTGTCAAATCAAGATTTATCAATAACCAGGTATTGGACTCATTACAAGGTTCACAAAAATGTTATTAGATGCACTTATGTGTATCTATGCACTCTAACATTTGACACGACTAATTTAGCCGAATATAAAATACTGGTTTTGGCGTACTACTGATGAAGCTCTGCTATTAGAGCATGAGAGCAGAAACCAGTCTAGTTGGGTCTTGGAACCATTTCTAGTCATTTTTACTTATTAAAAGTACACTGAAATCACCATAGAAGTGTTATTTTTTTTCCTTGAGAAAATGCCATGAGCTCATGATTTCTCGGGCATTCCCTAACAAATGCTAGTCTGAGTACTGTACGTTATCCACGGAGCTCAGACTCCTGTCTAACGTCTGATATATCAAAGCATGCAGATTTATGCGATCTCACGCCTCAGCCAATTGGAGTCGACTTTACTAAACGTCATTGCATTCCCAAATCAGGACTACCGGTAAAAGTTTGATTGGTCAATTCGAATGCAGTGTTTTGTAATGCAACAACAGCCGGGCGCGTTATTGCGTAACACGATAACAGAGTGCGTGACGCAGGGCTTTTTAATCCATTGTCTATGACGCGCAACGGGTGAATGAAGGAAAACCCGATAAAGAAAGCGCCCGCTGATTGGTCAAAATCTAGGAGGTCAAGAGGCGGGGTCTTGCCTAATTAATCAGCGAATCTGCTCACATATCATAGACCCATGGCATTCGCCATGGGTCTATTACATAGAATAAACAAATGCCAGGTTCCCTTCCACTACGTAACGTCAGTTAGTTATACGGCCTACATGTACCTCCCCACTTCACACAATACACTGTTTAATATTTATGTGGTAGGACTCTGATAGCTAATACTTACTCATACAACAAACATAATGCTGTAGAAAGTTCTAACAGCAAGGTTTTTGAAGATAAATGAGGCTTTATTAGATTTTGATGTCAAGGAAAGTACTGGGCGTTTTTACCCCGAGACCCCTATTTTGCCCGGGGTAAAAACGCCCACTCAAATAAACATTATTAAGCAAATATTAAAATAGATTTTAATATTTTAATCATTTATAATTATGTAAATGGGTGTTTACATAAATGTGGAGGCCAGTGTGTGACATTAGGGTCAAATTTTCAAAATAACCAAATTAAATTCAGCTTCACATGGTTTTGCAGTCTAAGGTCTATATTTTGTCAAAAACAAAACCATTTTCCTATAACATGACCCTTTTTAGAGTAGCAACATGATAAACTAGCATATGGGACACAAATTTCACCTGTAACAGTGACACCAAATTGTTAATTTCTTTTAGAGCTCTCACCAGGTTATTGTTCAGGTATGGTAAAGACATGTTGCTTTTAAGCAATTATTTGCACCACATATAAGTTAAGAAAAAAAAACATTAACACTATCCTTGTTCAACATTTGTTGAAAATCAAATATCAAGTTTCAGGAAATTTGACATATTATGATGATTGCAAAAATGTAGCTCTCACTTGACATAAAATTATATTATTTTAAGACAAACACTCACAAGTTCTCTAAAAGCAAGTTTGACAGCCAAAACTGCAACTATGAAGAGCAATGAAGATTTACAAACACTACTAGAAAGCATGTTATTGTAAGTAAAGCCTGGTGTTAACCAACATTTCACCTGTAACGCTGACACCAAATAGTCACTGTTACAGAGTGACAATCCTACAAATAACTAATAATAATAGTAATAAATGGTATCAAACCATTTAAACCTTTCTATTTAGTGATAAGATTGATGGTTTCTACATCAGATACTTGTTTCTGAGACTGGAAGTTTACAATGTAGTTTGTTATAATAATCATTTCACCTGTAATGCTGACACCAACACCAAAAACACTTTTATCACTTTTCTTCACCGTAGTTCTACTTTAACCTGTCCTATGCCAAAGTTTTCATTGTATTAAAAAACTTGGTCATTATTTTAGCTAAAAACTCAATCATCAATCAAACAGGTGCTTTTGCTTCATTGTTTCAGCTGAAAAGAGGTACATGTATTTCACATGTAACGGAGTCAGTGTTGACACCAAACCTTTATTGCCTCTTATTTCAAATTCTAAGAGAAGGATTCAAAATTTAATGACATCTATATTCCAAGCCAATCTCCAGGATATATTTTTAGTTAAACTTGTTGACAAATACAGTTTGACAAATTCAGAGTGCAGCTGCAAAGCATCACACTGTAACGTTTTTTTGATGACACCAAATTGATCTGCCAATATTTAAAATTGGTATATTTCTTGTACTTCTTTGAATTTCACTTTTGGTCTTCTTTAGTCTCTTTATTTAATAAAAGACTTCAATAATCACTTAAAATTTAGAATAGTTGACAGTTTCTACAAATATTATAATCAATGGTAAAGTTCACTCTGTAACAGGATTTGCTGACACCAAATATTACAGAGTGATGGTATTTTTAGCGGGCATATCAAAATGATACAAAGTTGCCGATGCACGAACATTGTGTTTAATATTAAGTTTTGGGTTATCGTCAATCATTTATAATTAAAAAGGACCAAATTTATCAATTGAAAGAATGAAAACTGTGCACCATTGGACAAGCTGTAAAAATGTCACGCAATTTTACCTAAAAATGTCATAATTCTGGCAAATTTTTGATCAAAATTATACAAATGCATTGTGGTGATTTTTTATTTTTTTATTTCAGTGGGTACATAGTGATAAGGGCAACAAAGTAAAAACACAAATATTAGCAAACTGGTTATTTTAACATGGAAATGGCCCTTGAAAGGAAAGAACATGTGCATTATGCCACTGGCCTCCACATTTATGTAAACACCTATTTCCGTCACATTTATGGGACTGAGTTCAGGCTTAAACTTCGCATATACATGTAATTGAATACCCCATTCAATCTGCATAAAAAAAATGGCAAAAAAAAATAGTTCATTCAAGAGATTTCAAGCAAATTTTTAAAAGAGGAAAAACGTAAATGATTTTGAAACTTTTGTCTTCAGCGCAATGGCAGGAACTCAGGCACGGACATCTTTGACACAGCACACAAAATTGATTAACGCACGTGTACATGTGGTTAGGTCGTAAGTGCACGCACGATCCGGAACTAGGCAAAAGCATACGGTCATCGTTGGCGAATTAAAAAAATTAGAGAGACTACAACTTATTTTGATTCAACAAACATTTGATGGAAGATTTTATGCGACTGTAGTGTATGAACAAAATATTTGAAATCACACAGTACGAGTAATGTACCGAGGAGAAAATTTAACGTCGATTCGCAGCTCCCCCGGTTTTCTACAAACCGTCCCAACATGTCAAAGTGCGAGTCGGAAATCTGGCCAAAATTTCTCTTGTAAAGATTTTATCGAAAAGATCTTTGTGTATCAAAGGAGCTTACAGTTTTTTTTTATGCAAAATGCAATTTGTCAGAAATTTTTTTTATTGGAGACTATAAATCCAAAAGAGGTAGGTTTTTTATTTGCAGCTATCCGGAACTAAAAAAAATCTGGAACTAGGAAAACGACTGTATACTCCTAGAACTACATTGTATGATGCTCCGTTCTAGGAGTACTCTGAGTAACTAGCTAAGGACTCTAGGAATCGCCTTTTTTAACATTTGGACATGGTCAGGCGACCGGGAAAAAAGTTGCAACTGACGCCACATGTGTCTTAATATATCATCTCAATGAAGGTCATTCATTGCAAAAATGTCGATAAGAGTAAGACATGAAACCGTGTTGAATTAAAATTAAAAAAAACTTTTCAAAATAAATGATAAAAAAAGGAAAGAATGTAGGCCAAACACTACGCCACCTCTCTGGTTGTGTACAAAGTCTATGGACATGATGAAGAGATGAGTGCATTTTCAAAGTATTTTTTAAACAAAACCGGAAATGCCTCTCGGCCCCAATTTTTATCTTTTCAACTTTTCTGCATATATGATGAAAAAATGTAGTGTCAGGATGCAACATTCTTTCCGAAAAACCCCCAATTGCTCATACATCACAGGCTTAGTAACTACATTTAGCAGGCTACTACTTGTGTAGACCATTGTAGACCCAGTAATGGGGCACTAGAAGTAGTCTCCTTTTTTCCCTGGATTTTTGGAGGGACAAAATCACAACAATTCAAACAATGGAGTTAAAGCACTCAGTATTACACTAGTAATAGTAACACGGATTTGATCCCAAAACCTTTGGCATGGTACACATACACGTATGTACACGTACTTGCATAAATTGGTACTCCAACAATTTACAAATCAAGTTACCAAAGCATCCTGGTTTGAAGGGCAGTAATCAATTTATATGGTTTAGATTTGCAATGGTATTTTTTTGCAATGCCGTAACGTTTGTTGAAAATCGCACTACAGAATCGTAACGATAGCCACTGCAAGAACCCAACAATAAACAAATATTGGACTTAGGACTTCTAGTAAAAGTTCAGCCCTCCCCTTGCTATTTTAGAGTTCCACTTCTTTTGATGCGCATGGTTGTAACAAATATTAACAAGAGAAAAACCTGCAGTCTTCAATTTTGTTATCTTTATTTAATTCATTTATGTGTTTTCTTTTTCAGTGACTCAGAGGTATTAACGATGTCTACGGTAAGTTCATTGCAAAATCCTTCTTTAACTCTATCAGGACCTCTGATAGGAGTGTCGTGGCCTCGTGGTGTGGAGCATTAAATTTGTGGTCTGCGGGTAATTCTGCAGGTTGTGGGTTCGAGTCTAGCCTGGGGTTGTGGTGCGTGTGCCCTTGGGCAAGGCACTTTGTCACTCATTGCTTCTCCCGCTCAGAAGTCAATTGGGTACCTGTGAGAGCACAGATGGTTATTGTGGTTGATTCTAGCTGCTTTGCGCCAAAATACCGGTAGCATCAAGCTGTAAACTCCACAAGGGAGCTGAGACTGTCTTTGGAATGTTTCACTGGCCCAATGAGCAGGGTAACAACGATGCTCATTGTAATGTCTGGAGCACCAGTACTGATGGATACATGCGCTTTATAAATACCCACATTATCTAAGAATTTTATACATTGCTTTTGGCATGATATCAAAGAATCAAAAGTTGTGAATCCCCAAAATTGTAAATTTCACTTTACGACCAACAGAGGGCAGCACTGTCATCACGGGATCTGAATGCCCAAAGATCCCAGGAACATGCCAGCAAGCTTCCTGTGCCCTCCAAGCCTCGCCCTCTCCAGGTGAAACCCATGGACGAGGTGAGTTATAATACTTGTTATAATAAATAATTCAAATGGGAGGCTCATCATCCTTACTCGCAGCTGAGAAGCTGAATTGCGAAGGACGCGGCTACAATGTGGTCGAGCCGCTAGCACGTAAAGGCGCCTTTGGCAGCCAGCCACATCAACCCATATATGACCACGGAGCACAGCCTGAGATCAAGAGTGGTGGTTTTTTTTGGAAGGAGGGTACCGGAGGGCCTAGAGAAAAAGCCCTCCTGGCACAGGAGAGAACCAATGCACAATTCTACTCGCATATGGTCCTAGCCGGCAGTGGCAGCGCTACAGTGGGGATCATTCAATTGTTTAATGAGTAACGTTGCATCGTTGTCAAAGAAGCATTTGCCCCCCCCCCCCCCAGTTCCCCCTTCCCCATATCTACAAATAGAGTAATTGTGTTTGTTTTCTACGCTGATAAGATTCATATCATCGGTTCTGTGGACATATTTTGGGCCAATAAAAGCATTAAAAATGACTACATTCTAAGTTGCTCTAGTGGCTTATTTCTAGACCATTGACAATGGGCACGCACACGCGTACACAGACTTTTAGTTCCGGTTCTTTTCAGAACCACACATTCTCACAAAAGAGCTTTAATCACATGGTGCTACCGCAAACTTATCTTGTCTTAGTATTTTTTCACCATGCAAACCTTCAAATCTCATGAGACTTTTAGCTGCCATTTATTTATTGGCTCTTCCTTACCTTCCCCTTAGGGGCCGTTCACAATTATCAACATTTTCACAAGTGCAGATGTCTTACCACTCGACCAATGAGCTTGCGGGATCGATTGGCCGGTTTGAATCTGATGTACATAGCAGTGGGTACCCCATTTTAACTATTCATAAATTAGAGGGTGCTAAAACAGTTTCTGAACAAAAGTCATAAATTTCTTGTTGATTTTTATACATTTGTATTTACTTTGTGTCCTCCTTTCTTAACACAACACCCCCAGCCCCCCCAAAAACCTCCTCACAGGGTAACGACAAAGGTGCAACGACTGCTGCTGTGAAGCCTGGAAAACCGAGTAAGATTTTCAAACTTTTAAGATGGCTCTTAACTTTTAATTAGAGGCAGGACTTGCGCCAGTCTATTTAATATATAGGACAATTCCACACCAAAGTGGACATGACACCAAACAATTCAAATACATGTGACTTACGTGTAAACAAATTTGACGTCAAATGAAAGCTGAAACTAAAGTCTATGGTTTCAAGATTTGAAGTCGGAATTTTATTTTTGATATTTTTGAAGTGTGGTTTCTCGAAGAAAAAAAAACAGTTGGTTCTTCTCTGTCTGTCCTCGGGAGGGTGTCCATGAGGTGACAGATGGATTGTTCCATTCCACTTTGCCTTGCCCCAAGAGTTTGCCGTGAAGAGTCCATTTTTCGATTTTACGGTTGACAAAACATGGTTCATTTGAACGAGTGTCAGTAGACAACTTGAGCTAATTTGTTAAAGATTTGGGCATAGCGTCCTGCCACCTTACAAAAAAAACACCATATCATTAAAAAGAAAAGAAAAGGGCAAACAGATACTCGAATCATACACGTACTAATCTACTGACAGTAAATACTAACAATTTCAAATGTCCTGCGCTGCGAATTGGTCAGCAATTTCCCACAATGCACTGGGAAAAATTAACTCTCCGTGGCAAACTCTTGGTGGCACAATGCATTGTGAAGCACCTTAATTGAAAAGTTCATCTGACACTTCATGACATTGTTCTAACCATTGTACTCATAAAAATTCCTTACTAGGAGCCACACCCATCCTGGCAAATTCCAACACCATATGGGAAACTGCACACACATATTTATGACTTTGATTCTGGAGGTGTGCCAACAAACTTGATCAAACTTGTTGTCCCTCGCACCCATCGTTCATGGGGTACTCGTGCATTCCAACGCTCTGCAGCATCCCTTTGGAACAATCTTCCTTTACACATAAGTTCAGCAGACTCAACTAACCAGTTCAAGAGAGCACTTAAGACTCATTTATTGTAATACTTGTCACATTAGAATTGTCATTGATTTTGGGATCAGACTAAATCTGCTTGTTTGTTATGATCATTTCATTCGTTCGATGTGTCCAGTTGTTTTTATCGGCAAATTGTATATACAATATATCAATTTTATGTGTGTTTGTATAATGCTTATATATGTGTATATTTTGTATTTTTCAGATGCTTTAGATGTGTATGATTTGTTTCTGCCCATATGATTCCTTACTGTAAAAATTGTAATTTTTCTTTGTTTTTTAAAGGGGGTGTATATATATTTATTCCTAAGTAATATCTGTCATATGTAATTTGGTTTCATCACTAGCATTTTGCTTGTCCTGATATATTTTCAATTCTAATAAGCATAATATAGAGGGACGATATGTGCCTGCAAAAAATAAGGGAACAATTATACAGTTGGAAATTTCTTCTGAACTGGTATGTCACACAGTTGTGGCATTTAGTGTAGACAGACACATTTACAGTCCGGAGGACATGATTAAAATATCATATCTAATATAATCATATTATGATTGAAATCTCTAATTGCATTAATAGCAATAAGTTTACCAAATTTTTGGAGTTCTTTTGAGTAAAAAAATATTTGTTACTTTAAGACACGATTTCTCAAAAAAAAAGGTTCTCATACTTGAATATATAATCTATAATAAAAATGTAAAACTGGGTTAAAACATTTACCTTTTTTTTTTAGAATTTAACCACTGGTGAGGATCCGGATCCAACGGAAGCGCCAATGAGAAAGGTAAACAGTTCCTCTGTTGGTGTTGCTTGCACGTTTCTTATTGGGCACTTTCTGTTTGTTTTTTTCTCTTTTGTTCTGGCTCGTGTTAAACCTGAATTTATTTCAAGATGCCGGGCTGGCTTTCAGAAATTGAAAACTTTTTATATTTTGAAATCAGATGTACAGAAGTGGAGATATTTCACTTTTCTTAAGACATTACTAGTGCCTTTTTATGGACAAATGCTCACTTATTCTCATTATTTTCTTTATTTACCCATGGAAATGGCTCTTCCTTACTTTCCCCTTAAGGGCCGTTCACAATTATCAACATTTTCACAAGTGTACAAAGCGTACACTTTTTCAAGACCCCCTCCCCCTAAAAGTGTACGAAAAAAATGTTGATTTTTTTTTCACACAAGTCTATATACATGTACATGTATAGACACTTGCATGTGACTTCGTCGAACAGCTTTTCACTGTCTCTGGCCCTCACACACGACATCTGCTCGCTTGCGTAGATCATTCACAAACACAAAAGCATTGACAAACTCTCTGTATTTGTTGGTCGGATTCTTGTGGACACTACATCCTTGTCAAATGACGAATTTTAACAATTGGTCCAAGTAAACAGTGCGGCTTGTCCGCCATTGGCATTGCTAGTGAGTGCCAGTGTTATTCAACCGGTGTAGCGTGAATATCCGACTCCATGCAATGTGGACTCATTGGTAGTAGTGCGCACGCGTGAGTACGATACTATATGTATGCTATTTTGAGGATCGTTTGGGGAGAGTGACCTGTCACGTGCGAGGGATTAACCAATAAAAGGGAAAAAGGGGTCCGATTTTCATAGGAGTCGGATTTTCATGTGACACCGGCCGTTAAAAACACGCAGTGGATACGGACTATACATGTACATGTACATCATGTACTTGTACAGTACAGTACATTTTCATGTACGTGTGTAGCACAATGCCGCGCATGCTGTACACAATACGTTCATGGGATGCAATGCGGGGCCTGGCGCGGGGCGCGACTGGCTCGGCAAGTGCTCGATCGGCATCGGTTGCGGCTGTCGGCTGTGGCGACGGGCGAGAAAACAGATCAACATTTTTAAAAAAAGCGTTAGGCGGGCATTAACGGGCGAAAAAACATATCAACATTTAAAAAAAAAAAAGCTTACGGCGGCCAATAACCCCTCCCCCCCCCCCCCCAGCGTACGGTTTGTACACTCGTGAAAATGTTGATAATTGTGAACGGCCCCTTAGATTTTGGATATTATCAGATTTTGTTTTGACTGCCCCAAAAACTATTTCCTTGCCCCCCACTTTCCAATTGCCCCCACCCCTCCCAATTTCCCCCACCCCCCCCCTACATTTTAGAGTCTAGTGCCGCCACTGCTAGTCGGGAACGCACCAGGGCCACAGCTTTATGCACTATAGCCATCCATGCCACCCAAGTTAGCAAGGAAACAGGAATACATGCAAACAAGGCGAAATAATTTTGTTAGTTTGAGTGTTTTTAGGTGGTGAACGTTACAATGTGGAGGAACCCTTCCAGCACTGTACATTGGTCATTCTGTAAATTTAATATCCAAAGGTTTTTTTTCTTGTCACTGTTATTTTGGTTAATATGGCATTCAAATGTCATCAAGGCCCCCCAAAATATATATTTTTTTGCAATTTTTTTTTGGTGTACAATCACATGCAGGCGTCTGCATGTAGTCAAGGGTAAAAGGTAATAATTGATGGTTTGGGGGGTTTTCTTTCTAATTTTTTTCCAAAAACAAAGTACAGTAGTGTAGGGGCTGTCTGAATAGGGTAGAAAGGAAAGCCGAAAGCAAAACTATTTTCTTTTCGGCCTAAGCATGACTCTGTGCTCTCGGAGGACGACTGCATTAAGGAGTGCCTTTTAATGCCTATTAAATTAAGTATGCCAGATGTAACAGGGACAGGTTAAAAAGTAGACCCACAATTTATAGAATGGCCCATGTATGCTCTTTGTTTTCTAATAAATTAAAGGTCTGCAGTGATTTCGATTGTCCAATCAGGCCCTAACTGATGAGATTGCCATTTAGACGCTTACATTTTTGGTTCACTTACATGAAACTGAAAACCACTTTGCAGTGTTCTCCAACTTTGAAAATTAAAAGGTCGGTGCGCCGTCAAAAAGCGAAGGGTTGGGGCGCTCTGTGCAGTCATACATTTCTATAAGCTAGGGGCGCTATTTGCAGATGAACATGTAATTTATGTATGGATAACAGCTTTTAGGCCATTTCTAAAACAGTAACACTTACAGTTTAATACAATACTGGCTCAGCATCATCTTTTTTAACACATCAGTGACCAGGGTCTTGAGCTCCTGCTTTTTAGTACAGATGTCTTACCACTCGACCACCGAGCTTGCGGTATCAATTGGCTGGTTTGAATCTGATGTACATAGCAGTGGGTACCGCATTTTAACTATTCATAAATTAGAGGATGCTGAAACAGTTTCTGAACAAGAGTCATAAATTTCTTGTTGATTGTTATACATTTGTATTAACTTTGTGTCCTCCTTTCTTAACACAACACCCCCTGCCCCCCCCCCCAAAAAAAACCTCCTCACAGGGTAACGACAAAGGTGCAGTGACTGCGGCTGCGAAGCCTGGAAAACCGAGTAAGATTTTCAAACTTTTAAGATGGCTCTTAACTTTTAATTAGAGGCAGGACTTGCGCCAGTCTATTTAATATAGGGCAATTCCACATCAAAGTGGACATGACACCAAACAATTCAAATACATGTGACTTACATGTAAACAAATTTGACGTCAAATGAAAGCTGAAACTAAAGTCTATAGTTTCAAGATTTGAAGTCGGAATTTTATTTTTGATACATTTCGGTACCAAAAAATAGGATTACGTAATAATCCTGTTTTAATCCTAAAAATGTGATTATTAGTGATATGAAAGTATTCTACCAATACACACACAAAATTATGTACTAATGCCATCAGTTTCTGTCATGAGAAAGTATTGGTCTTGAAAAACCGACTGAAACTTTTTTTTTAGGTTTTGCGTAATTTGTGTCGCTTCAGTGACTTCTAATATTTCAGCCTTCGAAAATGTCCTTCCGTTACCGAAAAAATACATATTTTTTATTTATTTTTAAAGCTTGCAGTATGAATGCATTGAAAGTTATTGTGCAAAGCAAATTTAGGTAGGCCTTCAATATGCCATTATAACTGACACTGCTGTACATTGTACTTCTTGTTTTTTAATTACAATTAATTAAATCACGTCCTTCCGTTACCAAATTGGTAACGGAAGGACGGTAACGGAAGGACAAATCGTATTTTTATGAAATGTTACGACATTTGTGCTCATGCATGTCATGGTCGAAAAATGAAAATCACTGCAAATACATGCATGCATAATGACCATTGAAAGGACATTCATGTGACCCACCTTCACAAAAGCGGGATAAGCAGGGCAAGGTGTTTATTACAAAGGATGGCACAGGTATGTACAATGTACATACATATGCCAATATACCAGTACTTGTACATGTATGGAGTTGTTACAGAAAATCAAATCATAAAGTTGCTGCCATCACCATTCATGGACAATACAGAAAGATACAAATTCTGTGAAGCCATTCCAGAAACAAATTAAGTCAAAAATGAGATGGCAGAAAGTACCAGTACTTATGGACACTTTCATTCAATTTACATGTCTAAGACATGTGAGGTGCAATCTTTGACAAATTATGCCCAAGTTAACAACTTCAATTTGGATGTTTATAAGTTAATTGTTACTACTCTAAATCGTTATACTTTGACTTCAAACATTGAATTTAGAGTTCAATTAAAAGCAACACCTAAAAGCATAATGATTATGAAGCCATCAGTTCTACCGGTAGATGTTTTTACCTTCAATGTACATGTAGGCTGGTCGCCCCCCCCCCCCCTTTTTTAGGTAAACCACTGAACCTACCGGTATTACTATTAAAAGCTGTTGGTGAACATGTTACCAATATACTCAAGTGTTCAAATACCGTGTATTTAAACTTTTAAGGATTGAGGTGATGGGTTTAAAGTCCATTTCTGTAGTTGTCTTGTGTTCGTGAATTACATGTACTGTATGTGTTTTTGGTTGTTTTCGTTTTTTATTTGTTATCATTAATGAGCAGGCTTCTATCTTTATTTCAATAGTTTCTTGGGTATAATTATTTATGCCAGGTCTGCATATTGTTGATTTCACTTTCAGTTACACATTTCAGCAATTTATTTCACTTGTATTATTAGTGTAAATTCACATTTTGTTCATGCTATAATTGAGTACATGTAAACCTTTTGTCCTTCCGTTACTGTCCTTCCGTTACCGAATTATAATCCACTTAAAACCCCTCTAATTATATTACTGAAACACTTAAAGTCAAATGAAAGGCGGTATAGTATAGATAAAGCTTCAGGGATTCCATTTCCTACCAGTACCTGTTAAATATAATTGCCACATAAAATGCACATAGTTTACGCAAAACGCGTGTAAGTTGGAAAACTCTTGTCCGTTTTACCGTCCTTCCGTTACCGACCTCATTAATATTCATAATTCGTAAACGGGAGGCATTCATGCCCCCCAACAAGTGTGGAAATTGAAGGTAGCATTATAGCAATACAATTGTGACATTTGTTTGTTGTAACTAATAACAGTGTCTGTGATACAAACATTTGAAATTTTGTTTAATGAGTGAAAACTAGGTTTTACAGATCCATGCATGGCCGTTGTTATATTACAAAACATTGCATTCGAATTGACCAATCAAACATTTAGTCCTTATTAAGGTCATAAAAGGTCCCCCAATATTACTACCACATTGGTGCATCAAAACAGATTCACGTTTATGACGCTTGCAAAAATGCAAGTTACACATAAAGCTAAAGAGCTCACTAAAATAGGAGTTAGCTCTTAATTAGCTTTACGGTGTGAATTTCATTTTGAAAATCCCCCATCAATGACATTCAAAATCTTTCTTTTTCATATAGTCTCAGAAGTAACTAAGTAATTTGTAAAGTTGGTTACGGGTACTCGTTACTATAATCTGGAACTGGTTCCTGACATCAGCGGTCGGGTACTCAGTTCCAATGAACAGCCCTAATGCAAACTGTATCAATATATGCTCCTTGATATACGGGTGATACTCAGACTAAAGGAGCACTCACCAACATCACAGACTTGACGTCACACAAAATTCTCAGCAAAGCTCACCAGATTTGAAAAGCGTTAAAGTTTTGAGAGTTTGCAGAATGAACGCTTGCAACATTACAAATTTGCAATGTCGGTTTGCTTTTGTGCTCCATAATAAGCTGGCTTTAAATGGCTGAGCTAACCCTAACCCGCCAGGGTATGTTTGGTAGAACCCTGCCAAACGTAGCAACATGCAACACTTGACTAAGTGACAAGCCTGTCAAATGTAGCAAGATCCATCAGGGGAAAAGTCTCCATTGCCTCAGAGTCTGTGGTCACCGCATGCAGCAGGATGCAACTGTTGCATTGTTCAATGGGACTAGCTCTCATTGTTTCAGAATTGGCCATTCATGCACTGATGTTGCAAAAGCAAACAAACCGGAAAACAAACCACAAAAGAAAACTCAGTTCAAATGCGTGTGTATTGCAATTATTTTGCTTGGTAAATAAATACTAATTTCTTTATCCTTTTTTTTCAAATTCACTCAAAAGTGTCAATTTTGGTCAGGTCAAAAACTTCAAATTTTGCCTCACAATATGTGATGCGATCAAGCTAACTGAGTCGTTTGTCGGAAATTTTCATTTGGAGGTTCCAGCCAAAATCGGGCCACTTCATCACATCACTTCATCACATCTCTTGGGTTCCGACTTTTTGAACTAAAGATGGTATCAGCATGTGGTTTTCACAGCAGTAATGCTGAGATTGTGCCCTTTTCAAATCTGTAAAAGAACAATTGACCAGGGTCGACAAACAAGTCATTCAGCTTGATCGCACCACATACCGTAATTTTCGGAATATAAGCCGCGGCTTATACGTTGATTTTGCCCATGAAAATGTTTACTGCGGCTTATACACAGGGCGGCTTATACGCCGAGCCTTGAAGAATAAAAATGACATTTACATGTGTATTTAATGTTGTGGTATAAGAAGAGATGTGTTGCTGAAATACAGTGTAATTATCAATTAAGAAAGTCATTAACAAACCGAAAGCACGTCCCACAAAAAAGGTACCGAGCGGTAAAAACGTACGGCTAGTAAAAGCTGTCTCTTCGACATCAACAACCGGCCGTACGTGATGCTGCATGCATGCTGCATGGATTCCCCATGGACCACACCGTTTGTGGTAATAAAGGGGTGTACTTTCTTGGGAACAATAATTACCAATATTTTCCCTGTTTAAAAAATGAAAAAAAGACAACTAATACTTTTTATGGAGTTCGAAACATATCTTAATTTGATAATCAGTTGTTCAACATCACAATATATTTTGTTTCTTGAAATGTATTCAAGAAATGATGTAAAACTCAAAACAGGGGTGAAATCACCCCTTATGAAATTAATGGCTTCGTCCACAAAAATTTCAGCATCGTGTTGACTGTTTTCGAAGAAAATTACGATCCAAACTTGAATTTTTGACGTTACTACTCATTAGTAATCACAACAATTTGATAAGTTTTGCTGTAAAAACGGACTTGTTTATTCTTAGGGCAAAACAACTCAGCGTCTGTTGCCACAAAGCAGGATTTGTAGCACTCCAGTCTGACGACACATGGTGGGTTGCATGCTCTTTCAAGTGCTGGGGGAAAATGTTATCATTCGCCGGCGCAGGCTCACTGACGAGCCAGCCGGCAGCAATTCCCATTTTTTATTTCTCATCATCAATTTCCATATTTGTTTGTAATAGTATCGACTGTAAATGATTTGATATAACTTTTGTGGCCCTTTTTATAGCTTTCGTAGTGTAAATGGAAATGGTTCAGAGCATTTTGACTAGAATTTGGAGGCCTTACAAAATTTAAACCGCTGCGGTCGGTGCGGCTTATACGCCGGTGCGGCTTATACGCCGACTTCAAATCTTAATTTGCAGATTTTTGCGTGCTGCGGCCTATACGCCGCGCGGCTTATATTCCGAAAATTACGGTACGTGCATTGCTAATTTCACAAAAAGCTTTACAGCAAGTTGTGTTAGTTTGTTTTTGTGGGTGTTTTTTTATTTAAGCAAAATAATTTTTTTTGTCAATTGATCAAAGCACAAACTGAAAAGTACTACAATGTAAGTTTACATGAGCTCAAGTGTCAACAAGTACCAAGTGGTACAACCCACGGCAGCACCCGGGCCGTACCGGTACTCGAGAGTACAGAACAAAATGAAAACGAATGGGGCGTGATCTAATATGCAGAAATATGCAAATTAGATGCATGGGCATCAGTGTTATCAAAAGCGGCCCTTGGAAGCAAAGCTATAATTCTTGAGTTGCAAGAATACAATATATGGCCAAGTATACAAACCCACCCACCAATCAAAATCAACATAAGCAGCTCAAGCCCATGGCTGTGGAAAAAAGTGGCTTATTTCTTTCATGTTTTCTTTTAATTGCTTTTTGCAAAATACCACTTTCCCTTAAATGCTGCAGTCGTTGCTCGCAACCCAGCACCTGCTAGAAGCACAGCAAGGCCTAGGCCTACTAACACCTCAACAGCTAAGCGTGGCGTGACCAGCGCTTCTGATGGTGAGTCATTATGCAAGGTTGGCTTCTCAAAATCAAAGCTGTGTTTGTGCTGATTTTTTTCCCCCCGTAGTTTAAAAGTAACTTCCACTGACCAACCTTTGCCACTTGAAACTCACAAGATCAGTTTTACTGAGATACAGGATGAGTAAAAAGAAAAAGAGAAACCCAAATGTCGGGACTATTGTATTAGTGAAGTTCTGCATGTAGCACTTTCAAAATCTAGGCTATGAAAGCCCAATTCATAGGCTTTCTTTTAGTACAAGATTCATTCAAATCACTCATGTGCTTTCCAAGTTACAGAATTTTAAACACAACCACCATTTTAGAGTTCTTTCGCGGATCACAAAAAAGGTGCGCATTCTTTCAGCAAAACGAATACAATTCACACATATCCCTATGAGATTTGTTTTCGTTTTGCTGAAAGAACACTTACCTTTTTGTGATCCGTGGACAGAACAGAACTTTAAAAACGGTGTTGTGTTTTTGAATTATAATTATTTTGAAAATAAAGATGACGTCACATCATTGCTATAATTGCTATCACTCAGTCATGCATGAACATTAAAGCATTTCAAAGAACGGCTTTCATCGAGCTGCCACAGTGGCCTAGTGGATAGCAGAATGAATATGGATCGAAAGATCTGCGGTTTGAACCCACGTCCATTTTCATCAAATATTTTTTGTTGGTTGGGATGAGTTTATTGAAGGGAATACACTACGAGAACCTAAGTGTCTTCCATCCACACAGCGTGATAAATATTCATGTTAGGGTGCGTGATGTCATTGGTTAAAATAGGATGTACGCTGCAAAAATAAAATACGCAGGCTGGAAGAAAAAAACAGTCTGGTTCCTTTTTGTACAAAAAACCATTATCATTCAATACTATTACTGGATACAGGAACATGACTGAAATGGTGGCACTATAATAAAGGTATATTGTGCATTTTTTTTTCAATGTGGAGAAAAAAAATCAATGTAGAAATCGTTGACACCAAAACATTTTTTGTTAAAATGAGATAATTACACTTTGTAACAATCCAGATGCCCACAGTAGAAAAAAGAATACCTGTTTTGTTAAAATCTGATAAAAGTCTTTGGGAAAAGTTTTAAAAAAAAAATTTAAAAAAGATTTTAATTGTTGACGAGAACAGACCATCTCTGAATCTCGCTCGATTGTCAAACTCAGGCCCCAAAAAGATGGACGCATCTACCACCATACTGCGCCTACAGCAGGAGAAGCGAGACCTGCTGCAGACAAACATCGACCTGCAGAGCCAGCTAAGTGACTCCAGGGACGAAGTGGCCAAGGCCAAGGTGCGGTAAATGCAATGAACAGAGTACTTGGTGACAGATGGAATGTTTCTTGTGGAATGGAACAGTCCGTCTGTCACCTCCAGTGCATTCAATTACTTCTCCTGCACTTACTCATGCAAGCGCGACAGCGTTAGATTTACCTCTCACATGACTTGTCGCGCTTAATCAAGCCTGGCCCAAGTAACCGACTTGCCGAGCCGGTTACTTAGGTAAATATCCCATAAGGCCATGCAACGTCCTGCGGGCGCCTCATCAGGCCGTGTCCAAAAACGGGCTTGCACGGAGCATAGAGCTACAAACACTATATAGCTCTATGTGTCCCCGCGTATTTTCACTGGGCATGGACGTGCTCTACAGTTAATTGATTCGAATGTAGCGTGGGAAAACTGTTGCAACCTGACGCCACTTCTGCAATTGTGTAAAAAGTCTATGGAGAGTCAAAACATTTTCCTCAGAAAATTGGAAATATTTCTCAGTCCCAGATTCATGTCTTATCATTTTTGCAATGAATGACCTTCATTGAGAGGATATATGAAGAAGATTTAATGGGGGGGGGGCAAAAATGTCCCTACCCCCCACTAAAACCATGAAAAATGATAAATCGAGAAAATGTTGAGAAAAACATGAATTTTTTGGAAAATATGTTTTGCCCCCCTCGAGAAAAAATCCTGGCGATGCCCATATTTCCAGCTCTTGCACGAAACTTTACCCGAAACCGTTTATTTAGCTTCACTGCGCGTGTCTGTCATTACGCGAGGAGCCAGGCGCGAGTAAGCTGGGGGAAGTAATCGAACGCACTCCTCATAAAATCATTCTTACCATTGCACTCATAAAAAATCTTTCTTTGTTTTTTTTATATTCCAACAGCTGAACTACGAGCAGTCACTTATTCCATTCCACCCGGCTTCGCCTTGTGGAATGGAATATTCCGTCTGTCACCTCATGAAATTATTCTTACCATTGCACTCGTTAACATTCGTTACTTGTATTTTGGTATCCCAACAGCTTCACATCGACCGTATCCAGAAGGAATTGGATGTGCACGAAAAAAAAATGGAAAAGATTACAGAAAAAATAACCAGGTACCTTAGTGAAAAAATCGTTACAAGGTGGATAAAAGCACAATTTTTTCACCAAAGCATCTCTCTTTTCGAAGAAAAGACGGACGCATGAAATTGGATGATTAAAAGGTCAATTTATGACTTCATTATGACGTCATCAGCTAATTAAAGCCTTTCCTCTGGCGAGAGGACCATCAAGCTTCTTTTATAACCCTTAAACGCTCCATCTCAACTCAGTACTGGCTACGATTCTCTGACCCAGAGGTATAGAAACCATCTTCAAAGTAGATGGTATTACCCAGGAAGGTAAACCCATTGCATTTTCCTCAAAAAGCCTATAGATCCTGTTCCAGAGCATATTCTTCAATATCGAGAGGAAGCTGTGGCACTGCTGCAGCTTTATTCGGCTGCAACTTCATTGTTGTCACTGACCATTACAACCATTGGTTACAATTTGGTGCAAAATCCTAGCCAGTGCACCACCTCGCTTGTAGCGTCTTAAGCTACAAGGATACGACTTCAACGATGTCTACAAACCTGGTCCTACGATGGTGATCGCAGATGCACCCGGCAGATTGCCCAACTCTCCAAGCTCGACAACGTAACATGTGATGAATCTGTAACTTAGATACACTGAGATGGTCATCCGACTGTAACTTATGTTATGTTTTTTGTCTGCCTATCTTTGGAATAAGTTTAAACATTTAAGATACCAATAATCAATTACAAAAACTCTCTTGGCATAAAATTTGAACCATTCTCTCTGACTTAAGAACAAAAACTCACATTGCCACTTACGGTTCGCATGTTAAAACAAGGTGCCAAAATGATCACCCCAAATCCATGATTTTAGCACCTTTTTTTTTACCAAAAAAGGCTTTTTTGGCCCAAAACAACATCCGGTACTACATTAAATCCCACTGACATACCACTCTAATGAAAGATCTTGTTGTTCCCTTTAATTTGATACCACATTTGTTGTTGTGATGTTTGTAGTTCTGAAGATATTATCAATTTTTTTTATGTAATAGTTAGCTGATGACGTCATAATGAAGTCATACATGTACATGTCCTTCCCATCATCCAATTTTTTGCGTCCATCTTTTTTTTCGAAAATGTATACCATGGAGATACTTTGTTGAAAAAATGGTGCTTTTGTCCACCGTGTCACGATCCTTGGCATTATTATGCCCCGCCGGCGAAGCCGAAGGGGCATACTGTTTCCGCCTTGTCCGTCCGTCCGTGTGTGTGTGTGTGTGCGGGGGGGTGACTACAAATTTGTATCCTTGTGGAGACACACACACAATAGGGAACAAAACATTGTAAAGGTCTCCACAGGGCAATTTCTATAGATGAATAGGTCTCCACAAGGTTTTCACGAAATAGATATATGGGTTTTACTCAAAAAATAGGAATTTCCAAGGTGGGTTGATTTGTCGCAAATGGAAGAGTTTTAGAAAAGGGATATTAAGTCCAAATTTCAGCCAAGGAAGCTAATTCTGGTTAAAATAAGAGCATTTTGAAACTTCACTTTCAAAATTGAACACTTTACTACACGAGAACAAAGGAACGTCTCCTATACAAATTTGCGAGTGTGTGTGTGTGTGTGCATGTGCATACAAATGGTTCCACATCGGAATCTGGATTGTCCATGTATGTCTTGAACCTTGATACAATGTAGCTTGCTAGTATAACTTACATGTGTAAGTTTGGACCCCATAAGACAGGCCAAGGTCATTAGGATTAAAACAATAGGATTTTATTTCATTTGATTTTTTTTTAATAGTTTTTTCTTAATTTTTTTTTTTTACGAAACCAGTGTATGTACATGTGGCTTGCTAGTATAACTTATAAGTTTGGACCCCACAAGACAAAGGCCAAGGTCATTAGAATTGAAACAAAAGGATTTTATTTTGTTTTATTATTTTCATTTCCCCCCCACCAAACCAATATACATGTGCAAATGTAATCACTCACTCAAATATTAGGGGCCTGTACACTGTCTATGCATGTACATGTTTTGTGTATAATCAATGTGGCTTCTTCACCTTTTTTCTTGGACAGCCATATTTTTAATTGAAACAACAGAAAACAAACACATGTACATGTACATGTATCCAAAACTTGAGACTTGCATCGTAGTACATGTACATGTTTATGCAGCTCTGTAGGTTGTTTTTAGGATTTTGAGTCACTTTAGGATCCCATAGGCCAACTGTTCGCATTATTAAAACCCAAAGAAATAATGTCGTGATGATAACTCAAGCTTATTCAAATAAGTATATATTCTTTTGATTATTTAAGAATTCTTATTTTCATGTAGGCCTTGTAAATGCTCAAAGGATTACGCTAAAAGGATTTGCCTTTGAGAAAGGTCTTGCTTTAGACTGAAAATATTCTGTCGCTAAAAACAAAAATTCATTATGGGATCATAGCCTAAAGAAAACAATAACGATGTTGAACGTTCCATGTGACCCAGTTAATGTTAATAATAGAGTGGTGTTATGTGATGGAAATAGGCATGGTTGCGGGGCATTTGTGTTTTTTAACACTACTTTTCTTGTTGTCACTAAGGTACATGTCACTGGTGACGTCACAGGATCTGAAACTTTTGAAGAAGGAGAGACATCTGAAAGAGTCGAAGGTGGGGTGTAGAGAGGGTAAGGGCATTTTCGACTGTTTGCCAGTAATTCATTTACACCACTATTTGTCCAAGCAAAGACTCTAATTCAAACAACATCGTGTAATGATGACGTCATGATGACGTCATCAGGTGTTTATTTATAGGCAATTAAATTGTGACACTTTTAATATTTAAAATGCATAAGAAGTCAACCGTACGCGTCCGCAGCATTCTGTTGCCGGCAAGTGGTAGAGTAGGTTGAGGTCTTTATTTCATTCAGTGTGCGTGCAATCACGTGACCCTTGCTTCCGGTCGAAAAAGGCCAAAACCGGAAGTGGCTTATTTTTTAAAAGCGGCAATAGGTATGAACTTGCTTTTAACGGTGTTAGTCACTTGGCTGATAGTATTCTTCAAATCATCTACGTCATGCAATCTTCGAGCGCCCTCTAGCGACAGGTTGAAAAAAAATTTAAATGTATTTTGAATAGATGTCTGAGGTGAAGTTTGTCAGAATCACCTTAATATTGGTGTATATGATGACCTTGACCCACTTAAGACGTGTGCGTAGTTTTAGGCGAATGACGTCATCAGACCGGAAGTTATAATAAAAAGACTCTTTTTCATTTGAAAATTCCTGAAAAATCAACCATGGCAGTTATATTAGTTTTTACTTCAATTGTCGATTCAAGGGTAGGTCTAAAATATTTCAAAGCTTCGAGGCAATAAGCGAACTCGGACATGCCCTGCGTATGCTTAAAAGTTCAGGTTGACAATACATCTGCTTTAAAATATGCACAGGACGTCCACAATGTATATGTACATGCACGAACGTTGTACATACGCACATACATCGTATGTCAGTCAGCCCGCAGAGCACGTGTTGCTGAGGTCAAATCCTGTCCACAGTGACCGTTTTAGCCGATTCCGCCTAACTTTGACAGATTTTATGTTCATGCATGCGCATAGTCAGGGACTTATAATTGATAAAAAAATCATTCTGCAGAAAAGCCCTATGTTACGTATTTAAAGGTGCAGTTTTTCTGCAGTGGGATTTTCCACAAGTCTTTTCCTATACAACACTGATATCTTACTGAGTTGTTCTGAACTTCGGCCAAGAATTACTATGAGAAGGACAGAGAAATCATATTTTTTCGCGCTGTCATTTGATTCAAAATATTCCCAAGAGTCAGAATATCAAGTACTATTTTCTGAAAATGTTTCAGTTCAAAAGCAAATCACATATTTAAAGGTGCAGTTTTTCTGCAGTGGGATTTTTGAGCCCATTGACTTTGAATTTCATCTAAAAATATGCGGACTTTGGATAACTGTGCGCTGAATTACCCCAAGCTAGACTTGCCCTAAATTAAATAGCTGGGAAAAGTGTCACGATATCAATAACACTATTTTCTACTCACAATATTAGTTGTGGAGACAGCAAATGGCAAGTGAAGTGCGCCGCACCTGCGGCGTACACGTAACCAAGCTCCTTAGCAACTTTAAGATACGCGCTATAAATTTGGCTTCAGTAAGCGCCCAACTATGCGGTTTGTGCATGCAGTGTAATGCCAATGCGCCCAATTCCGCACCGCACACTAAAAGAGCCCAACGCGCAACAGCGCTTTCACTGGTACCCTGTACTGCCAAGCACTCATGCTTGCGCACTATGTACATTTTATGTGCGCAGCTAAAAAATTTCTTATTTTTACCACCCTATAAAGACCAAACCGAAGCTGCAGAGCATCAGTTTCAGCACTACAAGCAAGGGTTACATTAATAGTCACTAGAGTCATGTTTCTCCAATGTCCTAGGGTGTAGCCAGTAGTGTCACTGAATGACTTGCCACCGAAGGACCACTCGCCCCTGCAGGCCTCCCAGGAAGATTGCGTGCATGAGTGACGTGGAGGACTTCAGCGGGAGCTTATGGAACACAGCCTCATCTGTGCACAGGCCCGTCACCAAGGGGGGGGGGGGGGGGCTGGTGGGGCCGGGCCCCCCTCGGCGAGCAATTGGCCCCCGAAACGGTGGGCCCCCCTTGTTGGTACTATTTGGCCCCTCCTGATGCTCAGGGCTGGCGACGGGCCTGGCTGTGCACAAAACATACAGGTTAGTAATCATCTCATTGGAGAGGGCATCCCCTGCCCAAATTTCTGGGTCAAAATTTCATATTTCACAAGTTCCTCATTCAAATGCCACCTACATGAACATGCACCGAAGCCAATGAATTGAACAAATCTCAACCAGTTAACTTTGGTTGTTGACATGTAATAGTTTACAAATAATGAATGTTTGTAAGTGCAATGGTAAGAATAATTTCATGAGGTGACAGATGAAATGTTCCATTCCACGAGGTAACAATTTTACCTCCGAATGAAATTATTCTTTCCATTGCACGAATGTGAAACATTCATTATTTGTTTTATATAACACCTGAATAAATCCTCTTCCTCTGATTGGTTGACTTTTAATAGCCAATTTATTCAAGTTAACAACTGTTTAAAAGTTCGACAAGTTCAGAGCTGTCCCATTTAACTGATGTAAAAGGTTGAGAACTATCATATTCATTTTATCTCGATTTAAAACTATTCCACAAGTTTAGAAGTGTTATTACCAATTCATGCAAGGCAAGTTAAAAGCTGTTCCACAAGTGCAAAACTTGAACAGTGCAACAAGTTCAGAACTTTTACATCCAATTTATGTAAGTTAAAAGCTGTTCCGCAGTGCCACCATTCGCAGCAGTCAAACCGTGCAATGGAAGTTCTATTCACCATGCAATAGAACCTTCATTGCACTGTGTGCTGCGTGCCGCGTGTGCGCCGTGCGTTGAGACAAATAATTCAATGACATGTGATCAATGATCCACCAATCAGATGACAGGGATTTATTCAGGTGTTTTATAAAGAGAGACAATTAATGGAGGTGGCAGTGACTAATTAATTACTTGTGTAAATAATTGTAATTTATTAGATACTATTATGAATATTATTATTTGCATTTGCAACTGTATACCTTTTACCGACATGAAATAAATGTTGAACAATGAGATTTATAGTTAACAAGGGGTAAATTAAGCTTCAAAATCAAACAAGCCCAATGATATGTCCCACAGTGACCAAAGAATGGCCCAGCAGGGGTTGGTCACAATAGTAAAGTTCCCCATTCCTCAATGCCCCATGCGCACGTAAAAAAAACAAGGTAACACTCATCGCTAAGAGAAGGAGTTTGCCCGGTGTTTTTGGCAGTGGCTGCTTAATGCGTTGCAGCAGCTTGTGAACTTTTTTTTCTTGAAGAGGTAGAAGAAGACAAAATCGACCGCGAGAAAAGGCAACACACGCGAACCGCAGATAAATTGTTTTTATATATCTTGTATGATTTCCTGTAAAATATTGTGCAGGGATGCTGAGCAAGAGCTTGCGACCAATATCCGCCGTCTGCAAATTGAACAGTGAGCTTCTTAAAACTAACCAAAAGATGGAGAGGCAGCTTGGCGACACCAGAGCCAACCTGGCTGCCTCCAGGCAAGAGTGCAGCGGCCTGAAGCAATCCATTGCACAGGTGACCGCGGCACAGGCTGGCATCACGGCCGAACTATCCCCCGCTAAAACCATGAAAAATGATAAATCGAGAATATTTTGAGAAAAACAGGAATTTTTTGGGAAAATATGTTTTGCCCCCCTCTAGAAAGAAATCCTGGCTATGCCCATATTTCCAGCTCTTGTACAAAACTTTACCCGAAACCGTTTATTTAGCTTCACTGTGCATGTCTGTCATTATGCGAGGAGCCAGGCGCGAGTAAGCTGGGGGAAGTTATCGAACGCATTCCTCATAAAATTATTCTTACCAAAAAAGGATAATTTACATCTTGTAAAAATTTTTAAATCCTGCCCAGGTTCCAATCTGAAGTCCATCCAGATGATCCTTAATAAGACAGCAGACGGTACAGGCATAGACTCCAACACCCTGGCCTTACAGATGAAGGGCCATCCTGAGCTGAGGGACAAGCTTCATGTCGTCACCTCTTGAGGGCCTTTGCCTGTCTACCCTGGGGTGGTCAACTCAGAATTACCTGGTAGGTACAGTGGACTCTCTGCCCAAAAACTCTTCCTTTTAAGGAAAAAAGATGGAACTCTTGAACGCATTGTCGCCCAACACCTTGTGCTGATGTTAAGATATTGGATGATCGTAGTGCAGTGTTTATACAGCACTCTTATACCACACTCTTGGATTGCTCACACTTATTACCCCTGTTCATCAGGCCATGAGAACACTTTCCTGCTGAAGCTCGAGATCAGCAGTATATGGTCTGCACCCCCCATATATACTCAATGGAGAGAGGTAATTGTAGTAATGTATCTTGCCCAAGAACAACAGCGACGTGTCCCCTGTCAAGGTTGACCCAACATGACATCATGCATGAGTCAAACATGGGAACCTTTTGACCACAGGATTCCCCCCGATTTTTAAACACTGTATACTCAGTGTGTTACCTCCTGAGTAAAAGTTGGAAAAAAACCTCCATCTTATGCAAAATTCCATCTTATGTATGCGATACTCGCTGCTATGTACATCATATCCCCTTAGATCGGTGGATGAGTGGTAAGACATCTGCACTAGAAAGCAGGAGGTCGTGGGTTCGAGTCCCACCCGAGGAATTTTTTCCAACTTTCACTCAGGAGGTAACACACTGACCATTTATACTGTCCGTTTATACGTACAGTTAATACGTCGGTGAAGGGCAAAACCTAATTGATTTACATCACCCCGACGCAAAATTCCATCTTATGAATACTGCATCAAATAAGTCATACATCTTTTGCATAAAAACATTTGTTGTGTGGGAGAGGGAAGTACCTCAGACAGTCAGACCACCATTTAAACAGAAGATCTGACCTGACACGTGTACATGAGGACATACAAGGGCCTCATGATTCTGACATTTAGTATGCCTGTACAAATTTTAATAATGTTGAACCCTGCGTCATAGGTCAATCTAACAATCTACGCACTAACCAGCTGACAATCTACGCCCTTGCCAGTATCAGACTTTAAACGGCCAGCAAGAACCTGCCGTTTTGAGTCTGTGTTTAGATTAACCACCATTTTGCTCGTCTCAGTTTGAATATTCTTTGGGGTCTTTTTTCCTCAGAGGATCTCAAGACATCTATCACCAGGCATCTTCTCAACATGCATCTCGACCCCAAATGGCAAGCTCAACTGAACCAATACATGGTGTCCAAATTTGTGCCGGTTACGCTGGATCAGAACAAAGGTTTGTTAAAATAAACAAACAAATGTCCCGATAAACCAAAAAGGGAAACCGACGATTATTTCATTATAAAATATATTGCATTATTACAATATAACAATTGTAACAAAATAAGGAGACAATGCTATATTTTAAAAAATAATAATAAATCGTTGTTGAAATCAGTACTCATAAATTGTAACTTGTCATGATGCAATTTTGTGCTCTAAATTAATAATGAAAGATACATATTTTATAATGTAAACATGTTTTTTATTTTTTTTTATTTTACTGAAACCAAAGAGACTATTTGTCAATGTTCAAGTTATTGTCACATCTTGCTGTGTGCAATGAGTTCGTTAGCAGGGCTCAAGTTTTGTGTGAAAACAGTACCTGAAAGTATTATTTACTGGACCAATGTACATTGGCAGTTAAAATTGAAACACTGTTACTTAGAGCCATGTGAATCATTTGCAATGACCTGGAGAAGCATTGATTTAATGACAAAACTCTGCTCAAAGTCAAGATAGGAGTGGTACCAAATACCCTTTGAAAATATTCCAGCTGAAATTGTTTCGTTTGGATGAAAACTGAGGTGGTGTTGAAAGAGGGTGTCCACGGAACATTTTAACATTAATGCATTAGCAATGGAATCGAGTTACAAGACACCCCAAAAAAGTGAATGTATTTCCTCGGTTTTCTTAAAATGTATGCTATCTGATCAACCTTCAACAGGTTAGTTTTCATGCACCCTGCTTCAGACTTTTAGCAATTTTGTTGCTTCAAACAAAAGTAAAGGCACAAGAAGCAAATAATCATATGTACCTTTTAAGAAAGTTGCAGTCATTAGGATTATACAAGAAGTGCATTTCATTGCTTCTGATGGTAAACGGGAAACATCAAATGTGAACATTTTTAATAGTCAACTGACTCTTGCATGTGTAGGATTAGTCATGATCATGATAATCTGAGACCAGATTTGGATAGCACATGCAATCATGAAAGGCATGTATTCATCTGAGTGCAATGTGTAATTATAAAACATCAAGATGAATTTGTATTCCCTTTGTTTTAAGTTACCAAAACTTCCAAAGAATTTATATACGATTTAGAAGTGTTTTTGTCATTACGCATAACCATCACTAAAGAGTGAAATACATTTGAACATCAAAACAATGTGAGTTACAGTGAAGTGCAAATTTATTTATGCAAATGCGATAAGGTTTTCTGTCATGGATATTGGTATGAACGTAGATGATGTGGATATGATTCGCCTACTTTAGTGTACATGTAGTTGTGTTTGTCATTTATAATACATGCACACCATATAGTTATTAAACTTATCAGAATTTATGTGCTGTAAATTTTGGATTTTTGTGACTTGGTTTAAAAATTAACAGTCACTTCTTTCATTTCCAATGGCAAATTATTAAAGTGGATGCGGTGTTTAAAACGAATCAGACTTTCTATTCTATAAATGTTCTAGTTTTCTGGCAACGTGATGTTAGAAATGAACTCTTTTGAACTTTTAATAAAATTGTATTTTCAATGGCAAATTTTATATTAAATGCATGTACATGTAGATCTGAGCCAATTTACTTGTTTTAGTCAAATTATTCTGTGTGAAAGATTGACCATTTTTTCCTCTGGCTTATTTCATTGGGTCACGCTTAATTTCTTGGTTACAGATTCCCAATGTGTAAAAGTAGATATCATGGCTAAAGGAAAGTACTCAAGAAAAATAATCAAACCCAACTTTAAAATATCTTTAAAAAATTTAAGTATCTTCCTTTTCTTGTACATATATTCAGTGGGGAGTGCCCAGGGGAGTGCCGATAAAATCCTACAATCGTGCACACTAAATTACCTAATAGTGTACTGGGGCGGATCCAGGAATTTTCGCAGGGGAGGGGGGTTCATCAGCCAAAAAATTAGAAAATGTAAAGGGGGGGGGGCCTGGCCAAATTCGACGATTAGTAACACTAGATTACAGACTGGTGTACCGTATTTTTAACAGGCGCACATTATACAAGTATATTTTTTTAGGAATTTGTATGATAATTTTTTTTTAAAGGTGAGTACCCTCAAATAATCCGGCCCATTTCGGTTCTGTAGGCCACATCTCTTGCGTTTACCACAATTTGGTAAATAATGGACTGAGCTGCAGCTCTGCTATTTGCCCAGGATATCATACATATACGTAAACACAAAAACATACATACATAATCTTAACACCGTTCTTAGGGAACTTTGTTCTACTTTTTTTCATTTTAAGGTAGCATTTTTGATATCGGGGGTCAATCTCTCTGGGGGTTATCCTGCCACCAAGTCTATCTTAAAAAGTTTCTACTGGTAACTTCAACAGCGCCCTCTAAACAAATCTTTGAGAGTGGCGTTTTCGAAATTTCGGACTAGCTTCGGAGTCAGTAACGTAGTCATTTCCACAACTAATTACATGTCCGATACAAGCCTGTCATAACATTTGGGCTGTTAACAACAAAAAATGTTCATAGCAAAACAAAGACCGATACCAGTATATCCCGAAAGTGACAAAATAACATCGCTGGAAGTCAAAGCCAAATCTTTCGAACGAAACCAATGTTTACGAAAATTCCCAAGGTATGACGTATTGCCCACGTGAGGGCGCATACAGGTGGTGTTGTTTTGTGACACTGACAGGTGCAAAATGAATGGTTACAATTCACATGTGGCGGTTTGTTGTCATGTCAGTGCTGCATGCACATGTCACAATGAAAAGACTCTGCACTCAAGCCCGTCTCCCAAGTGTCGTCGCCATGTTGGGTCGCTTTCTCCGGATGTTTTCATGGTTGTATCTCTGCTAATTTGTGACTGTGAGGTACTTGGTTCAGTGTGTCCGCCGTCAACTCGATTTTATTAACCCCGGAAAAACTGCAAGACGTTCATTGCCTGGTCAGTCGTGAGTATTTAACAGGGACAGAATCGTATTACCAAGGTTGCGATCATGTGCATTCACTAAGCGCGGGCTTTGCAATCGCATCAACGTACCTTTTCCATAAACCGTAAATCTAAGATTTTCACATAATCCTATTTAAACATTTTGGATTTTGAGCATGTTAAGGAAGTGACAATTAAGCTAGTGGTTACTCACGTACGTCACAATATGTGCATCCCCCCATGTTGAAGCACTTGAAGGTGTTCAACATATTTAATTGGCCTGATCAAAGATCAATCTGACAATTGATAATTATTATGTGCCAAAAACAGGGCTGATGGCTTTCAGGGACTTCATTCATCCTTGCAACATATCTCTCTCTGTTATTTAAGTCTCTGTTGTATCATAGTGGTGATGTGAAGTAGTTTTCTATAAGAAATAATTAATGCTGGGTTCCTTTATTTTCAATAGGACCCAAAGAAATATTGATTGTGAAAAGAATGCACAAGTCATATCCGTCACACCTTTTGTGACGGAAATGACAATTATTATATTACTTGGCTTTTGGAGGTATAATTACCTTTTCAAGTTGTTTACAAATTATGGCAGTAGGTACATATTGAGAAATACACTGGGACATGCATTTTCAGGGGGTTTTGAGGGAGTATTGTAAAGAATGAGCATCTTGTCCATTATGTTAAAGAGTTTTTAACACTGCACATAATAGGAGTCGTGTTAAAGTTAATTTCACTGCTCAAAAATCTAATTTTCATTCTATATTTTTTCGAATTATAGTGCCTTAAAGTGTCGGGACATGAAAGTACACATTTGATACTGAAGAATGACCCATAGGCCCCTTTTTAATAAGAACTTGCTGGAAGTGTACATGCGGGAAGAAATTCATGATAAACATCTCCAGCATTTAGGATAGAGATAAACCCACGAATGATTCTAGCGGAAGGTTGATGCATTGGCAGTTGTACTGTTTAACTATGTTCACTATAGGGTGTCAGTGGGTACATTGCATTTTTTGAAGAGAAGCTGAAACAATTAAAATCAGTAAGTGAAAATTTACAAAAATCCACTTTGACAAAAGATGTATATCATACATTTAATTTAGCCAGTTAAACTGTGCACATTAATTTACTTGTGCTTTTAACAAATTCAATAAATATATAAAATCTGATATCAAAAAGTAATTTCATCCTCTGCAGGCTGAGTGTCAACATTAAACTGAAATCCACAGGCAAAAGGGGAACTATGTATTGGTGGAGTGAGGAAATTATGGATGTGACATTTACACATTTAAACATTTAATATAATAAACAAAGTTCTAAATCGTATTTTTCCAAAGGTTTTAACAAAACTCAAATTTTAAAAGCAGGAACCTATTTTCCGCTATCTTCCTTTGAGTTGAGCACGCATAACAAAAATAATTCAAACCTATTCAATTTGCTAAAAGCTAAGGAGAACTGCAGTACTAGATTACTTTCAGGCTACGTGCTCATCTTTTTATTGTTTTCAATGACAGCCCTCTTTTTATTATGTTACTCTTTTATTATTAAATTATTGTGTCGATCATGTTGGTCTGCACAATGGGCAGTCATCAGTCTTTGTGAAAGGGCTCAACATTGAGATGGTTCTTTAAATGTTTGCTAAACATTTACAAAATGAAACGTCACATCAATAGAAGACATTGGAGGAGGAGGTCTAAGGAATTGGAGGAGGAAGGCAATTGGGGGTCTGTGGATGTTTGAGCTACTACGTACATGTAGAGGGTAACAGATGTCTCTGATGGTGATGCTGAAGTTTTGCAGAGCTATCGTCTGTTTGCTGACCTTCATTGCTGGACGGACAGAGCATGGATGTAGCTGCTTGATACTCGTGATGATGGTGTCCCTTTTGGTGAGTGCTGGGTGTTCACTGATTTCCTGTAATTCTCCCCATCTGCCATGTGCTCTGTGTTTGTGCTGTCTGGCGTTGAGTTCTCTTGCTGGTGTACCCAGTGTACACCTTCTGCATTCGCAGGGGATGCATCAGGTTCGGTCTTGGAGGCTTGCTTGTCCTGTGGGCTATTGT